AACTCTTTGATTATTGAGTAATTGCAGAATGAAAAATTTAACCAATGATTTTACACATACGTCACATTTACAGAGGGAAGAGATAGCTTTTTTCAAATTATGATTAGCGTTTTGCGTAAAAGTGACGAAAATAATTTTAATACAATGATTCATCATTCAAAAGATAATGTTTACTGAATGATTCCAAAGATTAGATTATTTAAAGAGTCTTAATACAATTGATAGGTTAAAAATGGAAGTACGATTGTTAGATTCTAGTATATTATTGAGTAGAATAGTTCTGTAAACACATCACTCTTTTTATATATGCTTTAAAATATTAGCTGTTGTGTTAAATAATTTGATTATAATTAAAATTTATATAAAAAATGAAACTCTATCAGTTTAGTGATTATAGTACTATAAGAGGTAATTATAATAATATTTTATATCATATTGTATAATATTTGGTATTATATATCAGATAGCAATGTTCTGATTATATTTTAATTACTATTAGTTATTTTTTTCCTTTATGCAAGTCATTTTGAATAGCATATGACATAGTTTAATTCATATAATTTTGCATTATATTTTCTGCATTTCTAATGCTCAAAAAGTGTTGAAATTTTCTACACCTGCATTATTTTACATTCATTCCGTACTTAAAACCCTCCAATTCCACATTAAATTATGGTTTAAAGTACCGGCACTTACGGTGCATCATCCGTAAAATCTATTTTTACCGTAAAATATTATACCTTATTTTTACAATAATATATTCAGTGATATTTCGGTTTTCATGACTATAAAAATTAAAATTGCAAATTTTTTGTTCCGTATCATGTTCCGGTAAAAATGGATTTTAGGGTAAAAAGTTCTTGTACCTTGAGCACCGGTTCTTTTTATTATATTTTATTCCTATTTTTTAAAAATTCCTCTTATAATAGTTTATAAACCCTTCTACTCTGATTTTGTATTTAATGCCTTTATCACGATCAGTTTTTTTCGATAAAGTAATTATATAGCTAAAAATGTTTACGTAAAAGTTACTTTTACAATATGTTATGAAACTCATACACATAAAAATGTCATTTATATTATTATTATTTTCGTTTTTTATGTGCTATTTTATAATTCACCAAATTCTTTTCCTAGAAATTTGTGAGTTTATTTTCTTCTTTTATATATCATTTTATAATTATTTAAGTGCAATATTTTATTTTTTATGGCGTTCTCCAGTTCATTTAAAATAACTATTCGATTTTTGTTTCTCAATTTGGTTCAATTATTTTAATTCTTGTAATGCATAGTTTCGTTTTTATCTCTGAATATTTTTTTTTAATTATATAACCACAAAACATGATTCGAAGCTTAAATTAGGATATTTGATTGCGTTATCGATTGCGATGCGCAAATTTTGTTTATCTATACAAAGGATTTTAGAATTAAAAATGACGTTATACATAACCAAAACTTCCCAAAATATTTTTGTAGCTCAAAATATACTAGTGGTAAAGAGCATTAAGAAAATAAATGTCACTGTTCTATTTTAGAGTTCCGATTTTTTTTTCACCACCCAGCATTTATAACCACAAACCAGCTAGTGAAGTTTCCTGCACAACAATATCTTAAAACCAGCTTTCATTCACTGCTAGGTGTATAGCGGGGAAACAAATAACAAATGAGTAAAACTTTTTATTGTTATGATTTAAATGATTTTTTTATTTTTTTTATTTTTATTTAAACGACTTAAAACTCCTCATGCACCACAAAGTATAGCATGAGGCTTACAGTTGTAAGTAGAAAACGAAAAGAAGAAAAATTTACAAATTTACATTAAAAACAAAATTCCGCAAGGCCGCAAGACTTTCAATACTTTTGACTTAAATACTTTCGATTTAAATGATTGCAAATAATATTTTAAATTTGCCTATTCAAAACTGTAAAGGAAATTAAAAAAAGCAAAACGAAATGAATGAAAAGAGTTTTTTTTTAAGAGTTATGCACGATTAAAAATTTCTGGGAAAAAATGCTTAGTAACTGTTAGTTAAATTTTTTATCTTACCACATTCAATCAAAACAAACAGATCAGATTTGTCTATATCATTACCGGCTGAACGGTAGTTCAAACTCCAGCTTTAACACATTATTTCTTCCTTTCCTTCAACACGTGATGAGTTTTCAGTGTCCACCGTTCCTCAATTGGTACTTTTGGACAACTGGAGTACGAAACTCTCTTTTATGCATAGATGGCAGCATCACAGATATGCTTATTACAAAAAGTCATTATTTTCCATCTCACCCGTTAGGGGGAACCACTAGATAAACTAATTAAGCTACATTCCACGGTACACTTGATAAAACACTATTCAACCACAACCTAACTCCAGTGTTCATTATATAATGAAAGGCCTAACGTAACTTAACTCCTATGTCCAGTTGCATTTCATTTTTACGATTTTGAAACCATGCTCTTTGTAAATGATTACAAAACCGTATGGTTTTGTATTCGCGGTTTTTAATCAAACCAGTTGTAAGCAGTTTCAAATCCGCAGAAGTGAAAAAATGTTCCTAACTATAAACTTTACCGTTATTTGGATGGATAGGCTGTTGTCAGTTATTTTATTGTAATTTTAGAATGAAAATTCTGCCAGTGTATAATCTTAACGATAGATTAGAATTTAAATTTGCTAAATTAGAATTTAATGCATTTAAATGTTAAGTAGAATGCAGTAGGATATTTTGAGAAAAAAAATTGATTAATACACAAGAGTTAGTTTTGAAGTTTATTGAAAAGAAATATAAATCGTATACAAATAATACTTTATCATCAAGTAATTTTTAAAAAAAAAATTATTAAACTGAAACATTTTATAATTTTTTTTATTTATATTTTTATCTTAATCCCATCTTGTTCTCATAAGCGATTTTTGTCAATTCTTACATTATATGATAATAATACTATTTATGAAAAGCAGAATTGAAGAATTAAAATATAAATTACTTTCTTTAAACTACAAATCCATTTTGTACATTTTTTTAAAAATGCATAATTTCATTGGAATAAACAATTATAAGAAATTCGAGTTCAACGGTCAGAAACGAGTCGATCATTAAATTCATACAATTGTTAAAGTAATGTTTTTAACCGGTGCTATTTTTCGTGATATATTACCACTCTTTTAAACTTTTCTTTTAAAAATTTATGTAGTTTTTCATTTGACCCACATATGGTTTAATTTTACAACAAAATAATTTTATAAGTTTAGTTGTTCATAGAATTTAAAAAAATCAACTTATTTCTGATTTTTTACAAAAATTAACATCAAAGGTTAAAATTTTGTTTTAGTACATTCGTTATGTGCTTATTTTTAAATTATTAACTGAATTTCAGATCACTTTCATTTTTTGTAAATTAATATTTGAACAAATATTTTAATTTCATTTAGAAATATTTCTTTTAATGCTCTGATCAATACCTATTTTAAACTTATATTAACATTACTTTTTTGACATTTTTTTAATTTGTTTTAGAAAAACTATTATTTGTTATAATTACTTTGCCTTTTTAATATTATTACTTTGCTTGTATATAATCTTTACCCTTTACAGAAGTTTAATGAAATATTATAATTTCAAAAGGAACATATTAATACTTTAAGATTTGAACGTTTTTATAAACTGCATGAGGGATAGAATGATGATATTTAAATTATTAGAGAACCGATATGCTTAAATTTTTGTAGGTGCCTAAATCCTTTTTAATTTTTTAACCAACTTAGCTTAATGACAAGGTTTGCAATTGTCTAAAACTAACCTTACATAAGTATTGTGGTATCTTCAACTAAAGCCCTTACTCATTTTTTTTTCATTATGAAGATGCTTGATAGTTTCTTTTAAAATTCCTTTATGACTTCACGTGGCACTTTGCAAAATTTTAAAGATATGAAGACTTTTTCTCTGAATTATATCTCGATGTAAGTTACTCATCACCTTTGTTAAATAGTTGTATTATTCAGTCAGTAAATTTAATATTGATTTGCGGCTATCAATAATTAAATCCGTAACCTTGTAATTTTGAACCCAATCCAGAAAGTAAGGGAACTCTCGTATAATACTTTGGTTTAACTAAACTCTCCTTCTCTTTTTTTCTGGAACCAGCATGGATTTGCGTTAAAGGGAGAGGATAACCAGAAAAATCTCACAGTTGGCTTGATGGCCAAGGGATTCCAACTCATAATCTGTCTAATACTGGATATGCTTAGCATCAGCCCTATGGTTGGCACTAATCGTTCAGGAGCAATGTACGGTTCTCTTAGTTATTTAACCTTATTAAGGGGCGATTGCTCTAACCGAGCCATTTTGGCTAGGATATACGTTATATCTGGATTAGCTGGAATTTTGATTTCATTGGTACAAAAGTCAAAAATGGCTCAGGGGATAGAATGTTCGCCTTTCAATGAGGTGAATCGGGTTCGAATCCCGACGATGGCTGGTCGATGCGAATTCCGCATCCGGCTTGCACCGACCACAGTGCTGACGTAAAATATCCTCAGTGGTAGACAGATCATGGGTTAGAGTCCCCTTGCCGTGAGGCTTATAGTGGTCTTCCTCTCCATATAACGCAAATGCGGTTTAGTTCCATCAAAAAGTCATCCACGAAGGCAAATTTTCCCCAATACTTGATCCAGGAGCTCCTTTGTCTTCTTTATTGGGTTCAAACTTACAAGGCTATGGAGTTGATCATTAGCAGTCGCAAACCGAAAAATTGGGTCGACTGTTCAATTCCGGTTATAAAATTTCAAAAAATTGGCTATACAGCACCAAACGTGAACAATATTACTCCATGCCTTTTAAATGGTGTTGTGAACTTAGACTAACGGAAATAAAAGACAAAAATGCTCAGTGGATCACTTCGGTGTTATTTATATTAAACTCATAAGATGTAACCTATATATTTTATAGCATCTAAGTTGCCATTCATCAATAATATATTCAATTTACATTTCTTTTTACAGTATGGTCACCTACAACAAAACGTGCCAATCTTCGTTTAAACTGCAATCTCCGAACTTCAAACAAAAGTCCAGAACCTCTACAGTCAAACGAAGATAAAAACAATACTCCCACCAAACAAGAGAAGGAAGAAGAATCCAGTCCAGTTTGGCAACCGTTTGGTGCGCCGTGTGAGGTTCAGTTTAGACCAGTGAAGCTCGAAATCAAATCTCCAAAAATGACAACAACCGCACAACAGGTACATGCATCGATAAACTACAAATATGTGACTTTTTCTTTAGTAAAACGCATTGCAAATGTTTATGCCAAATTGTTTCGAATGATTGCTTATATTAGAGGGAAAGCTAAAGTATCTTAAGGCCAAAAATTCAAAGTACAATGAGTTCAAAACTATGTGATTGAATTAGAAAACTTATTCATTGATTTAACATGGAAGCAACGATTAAGTTTACGTGCCAGGTGTTCTATTATCATCTCCCTTAATATGTAGTTTTGAGAAGATCATTTAAATGTGAAGAAGCAGAAAGTCATTGTCTGTTTAATTCTTCTCTACAGTCTAAGAAAAATAAATTCAGCGTCCAGCCATAGCTTTGAGCTTCCTTTAGATACAAAATAAAAAAAATTGTTTTGGGAACTACTTTCGGATAGATCTTTTATTTAAAAGGAACTTAAAAAGACTTAAGACTTCGATTAATGGTCCGTCTGATTTATACTAAAACAATTAGTTCAATATTTCAAAATTGTAGGTGCAATAATGAAAAAGGGTTACGCAATCTTAAAGTGACCAAAAACATGTGTAGATATTACAAAATAACGGGATAAAACTGTAAACAAGCATTTTAGTGTAGAGGGGGGACTTTTATTGAGAATATTGTTCTAAATGTCAAAACAAAAATCGTGTTTCTTTGTATGAGGAGATAAATAAAGTGCATCAATAATCTATGAAGTAAATAAAAGATGATTGCGAAATCATATTTCCTTAGTAAAATAAAGACTTGATTATAATGTATTTCATTGTGTTGCAATATATATAATAATAATTTTAATTAATATTAACTCATAATCAAAATAACTTTTAATCATCATTTTAAATGGAATCATTTTTATTATTCTAAAGCAATAAAGATATCATTTTAACGCCCAAAATAATTTTTTCACTTTTATAGAACTATGTATTAAAGTAAGTACCTTTGCACCATTGACAAGTGATTCACATGTTATTAATTTTCGCATTCGAATGAACTTTTTATTTTGAATGAAGAATACTATTTCTTTATTTCTTTTCCCATTCAAAATTGTGATGCAGATTTGAAGGGTTCAGTTAACATACTCCAATTAATAAAAGTGACGTTATTAAACAAGCAAATAATTTATTAATAAAATGTAGCCTCATTTTTACAGATGAGAAAATTGCACTAACAATATAGTCGATTTGTTGATATTAAAAATTTGATCTATGGAAAAAAAAATTGGGAAAAAGAACCAAAATTTTTTTTGAATAAATATATTTTTATTTATTACAAAACGCAAGTGATTTACCACTATTTTTTTCTTCATCCTTATACCTCATAATATTTTTGAGAAACATAGTTAATTTGAATTCTTTATACTTTCATTAAACAATACATTTCTGTGCCCCATAGACCCAAAACCACTGCAAATATTGCCATATTCTGGTTGTTTTGGTCATACCTTATTCTACTAAAAGGCAACTTTCTCCCAATATTTGATCCATGATATACCTTGTCTTCTGGATTGAGTTCAAAATTACAAGGCTACGTAGTTGAACATTAGTAGTCGTAAACCCAAAAATTGGGTCGGCTTTTCAACATCAGTTACAAAATAAAATAAAATGCCTTATTCTAAGAGTATAAAATACAAGTACCATTTTTCCATTTTGTGAATCGTTTTCTTTTTGTTTTTAGAATGATATACCAAAGAAAAAAGAACCAGAGAAATCAGAATCTAAACTCGAATCTCCTAAACCTGCAGAAAACCTCAAGAAATCAGATTCCTCTACGAGTAATGGACCAACAGAAGACTACAAACCTCCAGATATATCATCTGCACCAACTACTTTCACAAAAAGTGGATGGAGTAGTCATTTACCTCCTTCCCAAAGTCCGACAATTACACTTTTACAAAAAGCTAGAGGCAAATATATTTTATTTACCAATAAAAAATAAAAATAAAAACTTAGTGGAAGAATAACTGTCATCCAATTGAATTTTAAACCCAAACGTAAAATGCGTGAAAACATGAAAACACCATGTATAAAGATTTTCTTTCATTAAAAACCGACTTATTTAAAATTTTCCTGGAATAAAATAGTGTTTTACATTTACAGCCGATTGATACATAGAAATCTGAGTGAACATATTCTTCCACTTAGCTTTTCAACTAATAGCACCTTTTGATGTATAATGCTCTTTTAATTAATATTTGTTTTTATTCTGATAGAAGGACAAATACCAAAGGGCGCTATTTATATAGAAGACAAGCCTGACACAAGTAAGTAAATTCAGTCATCAAATAGTTAATTCATTAATTTCATTCAAAACTGTTTTTGAGAAATAATGTGTTCTGAAACGAGTGTTGTGGCAGAATGCTCTCTAAACACCGCCCTTGTCATGCATTATTAAAGCCTTATCAAACATTTTTTTAAATTAGCTACATGGTGAAATTCTTAAGACAGTGAATGACTGGTAGCAGATTATTACAGCATCTGTAGATTATTTTCCCCCTCATTTTTTAAAGGCTAAAAAATGCTGATAGAGAAACAGAAATATTATTCTTTTTTTTTTATTTTTTAAACCTACTCAATTACTATTTGTTTACTAGAGAATATTGATAATTTTTTAAAAATTCCAATTAATTTTCTTTATGTAAATGAAATTTTTTTTGAAAAATTAAAATTTAAAAGACAAGAAAAAAATAATAAATTAATTTTTCAATTTCCAAAAAACGCGGTAAAAAATTGCTGCACAGTAGAAAATTCCGGATCAAATTACGTTATAAAGCTCCGGTACTTTAGGTGCATCATCCTTAAAATTCTTTTAATCGTAAAATCTATTTTAGAACTGCCAAATACTATACCGTAATTTTTACTGCCATACTTTCTTAATTCGAGCGATCCAGTGATTTTATGGTGATAGTTACTGAAATTGCAGTATATCAGATTTTTTGTTCCGTAACATGTTCCCGTAAAAATGGGTTTTACGGTAAAAAGAACCGGAATCCTCAGTGCCGATACTTTGTACTGTAATTTTTTGCTGTGTAGTTTATTGACTGTATAGAGATTTCCTTAATTCTTTAACTTTCCCTTATTCATTAATTTAAAAGTGAATAAAACATTTTAAGTAAATTAACGCATTTATAACAACATTTGCTTTGTAATATTTTTTTATCTACTCTATGTGTGCAAAATTTAAAGTTTTCTTGTTAGATTAAGCCTAATTTTTACAATAATATTCTCTGTCTGACTGAATTAGGGTCATAGACAAATTTGAATTTATGAAAATTCTGGCGAAAATCGACACTGAAAATTCTACTACCAAGTCTTTAAGTAACTACCTATATGGTAGAAGTCATAAAATGATGCTTAAGGGCATATTTTCTAATGTTAAAGTAGAGAAAAACTCAACATTCATATTCTTTCTAAAAAATGCATTGAAATGAGTTTTCAAAATTTGCTTGACTGATATGCATTTCTGTAGAATAAGTTGAACACTCCAGTATCTTCCAGTTGATATTCCATATTCAATTAAAAAATAATACATTTAAGAGAAAGTTAGTATGCAATGAGGAGGTATGATAAAGAGCTGTTTTTCGGAGCGTTTCTAGCACTTCAATTTGAAATATTTGTTTCTGAATAAAACAAGATGAAAATTCTTCCTTTAGACAGTCATTAGATTAAACTTTCTTCATTTACTCTAAACATTAAATAAACATATTCTACTGAGAACTATTTGAAAGCGATTTTCTTTATCTATTAAGTAATTCATTAATAATTTTGAATATTTTTTGGTCCCTTTTATTTTTATTAATGTTAAGCCTAGTTACCAAATTTTACGGTTGTAAAACTTTTACTCAATTCAAATTACTTAAGCTCAAGTTCAAATAAAGAGAATCGCCATTTTACCATTCTTCACTATTTTAACGAATAAAAATTGAACTATTCTTCTTTCTGCTTCAGCTTAGCTAATTGTTTTTGACATTTTTCACCTTTGTTGTTAAATAACACCTACAACTATTTATTTAATAATATAAGAATTTTTTCTCTTTAAATAATCATTTGCATTTATTATATATATTTTTTTTATTAAACTCCACAAGAACTCTTTAAAGTTCTAACTAAACTTCCTATTAAATCAGAGTGTTAGATTTTATACCGTAAAACATTAAAAAAGCTGATTGATGAAATTTGATCAATATTTTTTGTTTTCAGCACCGATACCAAAGAATGCAGTTTTAATTGACCAAAAAGTGATCGTCGAAGGTGACAAAGTACACACGGACAGCTATTATGCTGTGCCAACAGTTACGACAGAAACCACAACGCATTCTGTTAAGGGTCAACCTCCCAAATATGATGGCATTGGTCCAACAGAATATGGAATTCCAGTAGGTCTTCGAACGGTAAGGCATGTCAACAAATATTAAATACATTTTAATACACTTAGGCTTAGCTACACTGTAAAAAAATTCAGATCAAATTACGGTAAAAAGTACCCGCACAGTCAGTGCCGGAACTTTTTACCGTGAACCCGTAATTACCGTGATTCCGTTACCGTGCATCACCCGTAAAATCCATTTTATTGTAAACTTCAGTTTTACCGTAAAATATTATACCGTAATTTTCATAGTAATATTTATTTAAAATAGAGGGATTCAGTTATTTTACGGTAAGTATTACTTTAACAATTATAATATTTTACGGTGAAAATAAATTTCACGGTTAAAAGAATTTTACGGATGATGCACCCAAAGAGCTGATACTTTATACCGTAATTTGATCCGGAATTGTTTATAGTATACGAATGAGTAGAATTATTTGCAATTTTCCCCGTTATATTTTAAATTTTCGTTTATGAAGACCTCCTTTATTCAAAAACAGTGCAGGTTTACCTTAATTACTATCTTTAATATATGATTTCAGAACTGTCAAAAAAGTAGTAAAATTTCATGTGCATTAGGGGACTTAAATTACTGCTCATCCGAGGAGAAAATAAAAAATTTAATGAAACACTAATCAGGAAGACTTGTTCAAAAACATCAAAACTTGTTTAGTGGTTGAACGAAACTTAATGGTGTGTCTAATAATCACTATGGCAATTAAACTGGTTTAATAGGCCGGGATAGCCTGGTTCGAACCCAGCCGGCCGAAGAAAGCCGTGTTGTAAAGTAACTGATGCACTTTAAATCTGTCGAGTCGCAAAAGTCCTCCATGTTCCCATAACAAATCAACACCTCTGGGGGTACTGGATTGGAAATCGATCGTTCTCTGATTCAGGTCAAAATTACGATCTGTGGATGAATGAATGGATGTATAAATGGTTATGCCCTATAAACGGGTGTGACGTACGGTGTGGCAGAAGTCGAATTCTTGGCCATAGATGGCGCCACTGGAAAACAAGAACAATCGTACCCCCTCTGCCTAAACCGACATACGTCAACAGCAACAACAACTGGTTTAATTTTTTTAACGTCACCTTTCTCTTTAATGATATCTTAAGCTTTTTTGAATTTTTCATTTTTTTCCACTTTGATATTATTTTGCAACCTTAAACGTGAACTTTTCTATACTTCGCTTTTGATAAGGATTCTAAAAATATGCATTAAAGGATTTGAATACGGAACAATCTGTATAACATCAAATAGAGATGAAAATAGTTTTTGTAGATGTATAATTTTTTGATACACATTGTAAAAAATTGCAGTATAAAAAACCAGCACTTTAGGTGCATCATCTGTAAAATCTATTTTATCGCAAGCTCTATTTTTACCGGAAAATATTATAGCGTAATTTTTGTAGTAATATTTAATTAGACTTATTCAGCAATTTTACAGTAATTATTACTGTAAAAATTACGGTATATCAGATTTTTTGTTCCTTAATATGCTCTGGTGAAATTGGATTTGACGGTGAAAAGTACTTATACATTTTATAAGTACTTTTATCGTAGTACTTATACCGTAAAAGTACAATGTTTTTTTTTACCATAATTTGATCCGAATTTTTTTTTTTTGAAATGCATGAAGAAAATACAGCATGCGATTGTAACATTTCTATTTTATATTATTTTGATGAAATTTTTTTTTATTAGTTATCTATAGAGAAGATTTTAAAATGCCTATTCAAATAAACAAAAACAAATATTTAAGCCGGATTTTATAAAAATATATTTTCTTTTCTTTACAGGGTGTAAAAGAAGAATACGCCAGTGACTGGTATAAAAGCATGTATAAGTCGTTGCATAGAGTTAAATTTCCTAACGAAGGTGGTAAGTTACATTTTCCAACGTTATAACTTTTTTGCAAGGCAGCGTGTTCTTCTATAATGTCCACTCTTAATACGCATATTTAAGAGCTTTCTCGAAAATGAAGTTAAAAAAAAATGCTTATGAAGAATCGCAAATCTATATTTAAGGGAGAATCTTTTTAAAAAAGCTGTTGTCCTATGTGACTCAAGAGCTGCTTTGCTTGCATTGCCACCTCCAATTTGAATACCCAGCATCCCTTACGAAAACCATTGTTATCCAGTGGGTTTCTGCCCATTGCGGGGTTACGGGTAATGAAAGTGCAGACTACTTAGCAAAAAAAGGAGCCTTAATTATTCAGACTTCTGCGCACATTATGCCCTTCTGTTCCATCAAACAGCTTATTAAGAGGACCTTTAAGACCTGTGCTCATTAAGAACTTATCGACCGTATTTCTACTAAGTCTTGGAGGGCTACCTAAATTTGCGAAATGGCCCAAGACGAAGAGCGGTGGCTGAATTCTGTTTGGCTACCGGTCATGACTGTCTGCGGAAACATCTGTCTAGATTTGGTATCGTTCCTTCCCCGGTATGCACTCTTTGCAGTTCTGGTGAGGACATGGACTCCACGCACCTTCTCCGCTGCTCTGCACTTTGCAAGAATTCTATCACTGCTCTCTATTGGGAAGCTAGGGGCATGTTGTGATTAATAGACTTTGTTGCAGCATCTTTTGTTTCTGTTCTTATTTTTATTCGATGTTTATGTATGCTGTTACTGTCTATAATCTGCCATTGGAAATAAAATACAAAAAAATATTTAAGTGAGAGAAAAAACAAAAACGAATCAAATTCTAACGAATCACTACAGAGAAACAATGTATGAATAATACCAAAATCAGTTTGGTTTCCTGGTGAAACTTTGTTCTTCTAATAATCTAGCCTTCAACTCCTTTTGTTTGAACCGATAATCAAACATGCTTTGATGTCTTCAGTCCTGATCTTTCCTGAGTGGTGATTTGTTAGATTTAGAGAATCATTTTTTCCTGCTAAAATATCAATATGCGATTATTAAGTGTGTGTATTTTTTTTAACCTTATTTTTTGATAAAGAGTCTAAAATACATTAAAAACGGATGTAAAAATATGGTCAGATATACTGAATATATATATATTTTTTACTTAGGTCATACACAAATGGTTCATCTTGGTGGATACATGTCTGAACCCGAGTTTGATCGAAATGGTATGAAAATAATTTTATATGTTAATGATTATGAAAATAAATAATTGCTTAATTCCTTTTAGTAATGAACCAATATTTTCTTATTAATGTAATGCGTGTTACGTTCGAAATATTTCGATCCTAAACACCAAAACTTATAATCATGATCTTATAGATAAAGGCGTAATAGTTATTTATGATCGAATTATTTAATTTTTATACCAAACTGATCCATTGATGTCGTTCAGAATTTGTGTTAAAAAAAGATTTCTATCTTACATTAAAAGAAAAAATATATAACAAAGATTGAGTACCAATTATAATTTTGCTCTTTATAGTAATGAGCTTTCAAGTTCAAGGATCATGAGGATTTGAAGTTTTTTCTTCTATTTTCTTTAATCATTTCAGCCAAAAACTGGTCCCGCAGTGGACTGATCGTTAAGACACGGTTCCCAGTTGATCAGCGAAGTCAAGCATCACTGGTTGCGGTCAGTGTGCCGGTGGATCAATCTGCGTACGGTTCGAGGGTGAGCGTTATCGGTCCTCGTTAAACTGTTCTACCGTAAAGTGCTCGATTTCTCGTGCAGGTCGTCGCGCTACCGAAGCAAAGGTGCCAATCTCTCTGCAGAAGATCAAAATTGTGAGGCCGTCGCCAATAGCCCATTGTGCAGCTCTACTGCGACGTAAATGAACTACAACAACCAAACAAAAACTGAAGTATTATTCTAGTTTTCCCAATATATTCCTGTTTCTACTAAGTTTCCAATCTAATTATTCTAGTTTTATTTTTCGTGTCTAACAAATCATTTATTATAATGTTCTAGAGTAAATCATTTGGGAGAACAAAACAGTCGATAAACTGGCAAACGAAGCGAGAACCCAAAATAACAAACCACATCATCACCTTGCATAACGCGAAAACCATCATCAGATAACATTCCGTAAATGAAGCAATATTTCAGAAGATGACAACTACATCAATGCATAAACATCTTTCTTTTTTTTTACTTGATCATTGCTCATATTTCAAAATTTTGTTTAAATTTATTTTAAAATTTTAAATATTTAGCAATATTGCTGGCATTAGAAAGATAATGGGATCTTACTTTATTTTATAACTATCATTGAACAGGTGACCCAATTTTTGGGTTTAGGACTACTAATGTTCAACTCCGTTGCCTTAATTTTGAACTCAATCCAGAAGACAAGGGAAATCCTGGATCAAGTATTGAGAGAAATTTGCTTTCGTGGAGGACTTTTTTTGATGGAACTGACCTGCATTTGCGTTACATGGGGAGGAGGACCACGAGAATCTCCTACGGTTAGCTTGACGGCTAAGGGACTCTGACCAATGATCCGTCTACCATTGAGGATATTTCACGTCAGCACTGTGGTCGGTGTAAGCCGGATGCGGAATTCGTATCGACTGGGATTCGAACCCAGTTCGCCGCATTGGAAGGCGAACGCTCTATCCCCTGAGCCATCGTGGCTCAAAATAGAGGGATTACAGGGGTCTGTCCAGACATTTTGTGAAAGGTCCTATTTTTGTAAAATTGTGAAAAAATGACTCGTAATTTGTGAATATAAAATAAACGTTGAGTCGCATTCTTTCAACCAGGGTCCTGCTTTTGTGAATTTATGCAAATAGAGTCCTGTTATTGCAAAAAACTTTTTCAAGGAGTTTTTAAATTGTAAAGACATACAAGATTATGCTCAACACTGTAAAATTATAATTTAAAAAAATTGAATTTTAAAGAATAAACAGCAATTGCTGCTGCTAAATTAGAGATAAAACATACAAATATTTGCTATTTAGCCTATACCGCTGAACGCAGAATATTCATTTCGAACGAATAAAGGAAGAAGCGTTTGCCGAAGTCAAAACTTAGTTCGTTTACTTAAGTCTTTCTCCCCCCCCCCTTCCTGAGAAGGGTTTATTCGATTAACAAAACAATAATGAAGATAAAAAAAAAATTGTGAAGGGTCCGATTAAAAGATTAATTATTTTGTGAAGGGTCCGTTTTTAAGTAAAAATATTTTGTGAAAGGTCCATTTTTATGAAAAGATATTTTGCGAAGGGTCCGTTAACGGACTTAAATTTCTTCTAAACAGACCCCTGGTTTAGTTAATTAATAAATTTTTTTATTTATATTCATTTTTTTTATAAACATGCAAGGAAAGAATACAAAAAAAAGCCGTAATATTCAAACTTTTTTCAAAAATGGTTCGCGCTGAACAAAGTAGAGTGATTTTTCATAAGGTTAAGGTCCTCCCCCAACTCTAACATAACGCTTTTTGAGCTTCTGGTGACGGTTAACGGATGACAAACACTATGAAAAAGCTCTCTAATATCTGCACTACAAGGCTCCGGATAGTACACTAAATATGTATTTTTTGATTGATCGCAATTATACGATTCGGGAAATGTAAAACTCATAGCAACCTCGAAACAAAAACTATTACGTTTTTTGGAAAAAATTTAAGGTAGTCCAACTCATTTATTCAGCTTTATGGAAGAATTTGGATGACGTGAAAAAAACATGCTATTTCAATTGTTCACATTAAATAATAATAAAATAAATATTTTTTTTCTTTCAGAAAAGTTGAAAGCGAAATATGCTACTTCAGATTATAGACGTAAGCCCGAAAAATCTATGCCTGTCACAAATATGCGCCAGACATCCCCAGAAAAACTTAGCCCGTAAGCACTTCTTCATTCATCTTATTTTAATAAAAGAGTTCCCATTGTTTTACGAGTTCTTTCGGCATTCTTTCATTAAATTAGTTATTTTTCATGCGTAGGTTACCTGTTGATACGACAATAATACGACACGAGCCTCGACGTGAAGTTTACAAAGTGGAACCACGGAGCATCGCAGAATACGAACCGGGAAAGTCCTCGTTAGCTGAGAAGGAGTTTCAAAAAGTAAGTTTTTTTTTTTATTGGGTATTTTATTCTTTTTATTTTAAAAATACAACGTTTGTAGAAGAAGAATAATATGCAAATATTTTTTTTCGCATTCTCAGTTACGAAAATATAATTTTGTTTGTTTTGAATCGGTACTTGCAACTCTAGAAGAAGTGAAGTGATTATGCCGAACCATGTGATTTCAATCAGATTTAAATTGGGTAAGGCTCCTATACTATAAGGCTCCTATGTCTAATTCAGGGGCTCTAAAATTGGGTGCCTATGAATGACGTCACGCTTGCGTGTCGAACCTGATTGATTTCTAATCTACCAATATCACAATTTTTCTACGATGACGTCATTTGCATAGATTCAATTGCTATGAGGATTTATCACAAATTGCTAATGTTTTATAGTGCTTGATTGAATTGAGAAAACATCAGGTATTTGGTAGCAGCAAAAAAAATAATAAATAAACCTAAATATTTTTTACAAATTAGGAAATTTAGTCTCTTGTTCGCTCTGCTCACATACCACTTCGTTGCTCTTCAGTAATTATTTCTTTTCCTTGAAATTCGATGAAAAAAATGATTTTTTTTTATAAAATACGTAATATATGTTAGAAATTTTTTTCTTAATATATTAAACGTACCGAAATGAAGGAATACCTGGATTTGAAAACTAATCAACTGTACTTGAAAAACAAATTTAAACTTAGGATTGCAGAATTGGCGATGATATAAGAAAATATAAATGAGAATTTATTTTACTTCTTAACAATATAAAATGATAACCTTATGTCATATAACAGTTTGCATTGGAGACAGTTTCTATCTCTCATCATTCTTTATATTTTTAAAAATTTCGATGCAAATATCAAGATTTATATCTGGCTACATGTAATTCCTCACACTTATTTTTTATTTAGTCATTTTTGTTCCTTTTTGACATGAAGTGCGAATTTATGAAGTAAAAATCGCAAGAGAGAAATTTTTCAACAACTTTAGTTTCAATAATTAATATTTAAAGAAAAAAGTGCAATATTTTTTGAACAAATGAGAATTTCGAAAAAAAAAAACTAACGTTAATTTTATAATTAAAAATTTTCCTATCAGCAAGTAAAATTTCAAACCCGTAGTTGCATTTCAGCGGGAGTTACATCGGCCAACGTGGTTTTTTGACTACAATTTTACTAGTTAATTATTCCTAATCTAATAATCGAGTTGTAAAATTTTTTATTCCATCCTACTCCTTGTACCTTCAACGTAATCATAATTTTAAATTTCTAAGTCATATAGCTTTTGCGCGTTTAAGTAAAAATTCGCGGAAATTTTTTTTAAAAAATTTGCGAAAAAATTTAAATAACTTTCGAACAAAGTAGAGTTTTGAAAGAAACATAAAAAAATTTGGCTTTATCAGCATGCCAAATTTTCAATTCTGTAGATGCATTCCTGCGACATGTAGAGCACCCGAATGGAATTTTTTTCTACTGATTTAACAATTCGTAATTCTCGAACGAATTATCGTATGTTAAATTTTTTATTTCAACGTAATCGTTTCAACGTTTTATTTCAACGTACATTTTCTACATGCATTAATAATTTCAAATTTTTAAGATTTGTGGTTTTTGTGTAGAAAACCAAAATGTAATATTAAGGTTAACACCCGAAACAGAAACAGCGGCGGTCTTACGGTTTTTAATAAAGAGAGAAAACATACGGACTATTTACATGGTTTTGTAATACTACTTTCTTTATAAATTTTGTAAAAAATTTAATTGAAATGAGATTTCTTGAAGTTTATTTAAAATATTTCCTTGTCTACTACTTAGAATTAAGTCAATCTCGTGCTTTTTTTAAAAGGAAAATCTTATTTATGCAAAAAATAAGAGCAATAAAATTAAAAATTCACTCTTTGAAACCATTCTTAAATATTGAGTTTTTTATTTAAAAATTTTCTACTTGGTTTATTTAAATTTCAAAATTACTTGGTTTAGTCTAAAAAAGTACGAAGTTCCTTGAAAGATACTAATGTAATGATATTCTGATTAAAATGTCACATAGAGCACGAACTACTACTGTTTTCGACATATACCGCTAACTTTAGATGCAACAAGTGGCCCAAGTTCGAATCCCGGCTATGGTTAGGTATGTTACTTTTATCCAAAGCTGACCTATTTTATTAAGTAATGCTTTATCAAAGATTGACGGATCATGTACCACAGTCGCGCTGAATGTTATCGATTTTCGTAATTTTCCTTTCCAGATCGGGAAACTGCTAACCTACTTTTTGAGTGCGAGTTCTTTTGTCGTCTGAGTCAAAGAAACTATAAAATACGAAGAAAATCGTTTATTAGATAAGTAAGAGTTATTCACTTTAAAAGTTCTTCTCAAAGGCAAATTAGTATGATAGTTCACCTATGAGGACCCTTACTTTTTGAGTTAGATTAAAAAAATACATATACGGAAGCATTCATTTATGAGGCAAGTATTTGTGTAATTATATTCGATCCTTACTCTTGAAAGGAGAATTCAATATTTAAGTTATGGACCTGAATTGGAGTCGCAGTGTCTTCCAAAATGGATAATTAAAATATATTTCGGAACAATTTCGTTTTGCCCTTTGAGTTAGATTAAAATCATACAGATACGAAAGAATTCATTCATGAGGCAAGTATTTGTGTAATTTTATTCGATCCTTACTCTTGAAAGGGGAATTCAATATTTAAGTTATGAACCTGAATTGGAGTCGCAGTGTCTTCCAAAATGGATAATTAAAATATTTCGGAACAATTTCGTTTTGCCTTTTGAGTTAGATTAAAATAATACAGATACGGAAGTATTCATTGAGGAGACAAGTATTTGTGTAATTATATTCGATCCTTGCTCTTGAAAGGGGAATTCAATACTCAAGTTATGGACCTGAATTGGAATCTCGGTAAAGTAAAATGTCTCGAAATCAATTCCTTTTTAATTTTAAATCTTGGAAAAAAAATTTTGGCAAACAATAAAATAATTTAATGTTTGTTCACTTTATCGATCATATATTAAGTTTATCATACTTAGTATTACGATCAAGTCCTCATTTTATTTTAGCATATCTATTTTATGTAAATTTTTAATCATTAGCTGAACTTCTGGTCTTATGAGTTTCTAAAACCTAAACTTTTGTTGCATTTTATATAATAATATGCATTTTTAATTTTTAAAAGTAGTTTCGTTAATCCCAAAGCCGGTAACTAATTTTGGGTCTTGGGTAGAAAAAATAAAAAAAGTTTGGGAATCGCTGCCCTTGAGTATATGAAAAAAATTTTTTGTTTTGCACTCAATCAAATGAAATCTATCGTTAAGATAGAGAAAAAAGCTGCACCCATTTTTATTATAGTCTAGATCCGATTCCAGTGAAAGTGATATTGGAATAAAAGAATTTTCATCAATCAAAGAAGTGTACTCAAATTTGAATTTATGACTTACTCAGTAGACTTATAAGTCTTTTACAATGAGTATGAGATGGTAAGATTGAATATATTTATTCTAGCTTGCAATCATTCTAAAAACTCATATTGATATTTGTTTTTTGTATTTTTTAAGCTTTCTGTAATTTTTTAAACGCAGTTGCAATATGTAATTTAATTTAATTCTCTCTCACCTTACGTTTATTTTATATGATCATTGTATCGGTGTAAAAATGCTGTCATTTAATTTTGAAATTTCTTTTAACTATGCAATTCTTCATTGCATTTTTTTTTTTGTTGTTTTTTTTTTCTTCGGTAACTGCAAAAACTGACAATTGTATTTTTCTTTTCTTAAATCTTTGTACATTATGATTATAAAGCTCATAACATTTTTAAATTTCAACTTCTACTTATCAGGAGACTAAGACATTCAGAAAAACAATAATTACATTTAATGAAAACTAAAGAGTTTTATTAATAACTTTTTCGATACAGCATTAGTTTTTCGGTAAAAAAAATTTTAAATCTAAAACCTTTAATGATACTGAAGAATCACCATTCTTTCGAAATCTTTCAAAAGCATATAAATTTAAACTTAAAATTACACTCACTAAACTAAAAACTACATTCTCTGAACTGAAAATTACACTCTCTAAACTGAAAATTACACTCCCTAAACTGAAAATTATACTCACTTAACATAAAATAAAACTCACTAAACTGAAAATTACACTCTGAAAATTATACTCACTTAACTAAAAATTGCATTCATTTAACCAAAAATTACACTCACTAATCTAAAAATTATACTCTCTTATTTAAAAACTACACTCGTAAACTAAAAATTAGACTTACTGAAATTTTTCAATAGATTTCTTTTGAATTTTTATAGTAACTAATCATGCTTAGTTTAATTGTGTTTTATTGCTTATTAACTTGCACATTAATAAGAGTATCAATTTTTAATTGCTTTTTAAAAGTTAATTTAGCTGTTTTTTACAGTTTTGGAGCGATTTTTGGGATTCGATGGATGATCTGGTATGATTAAAGGCTGTTTTAGGCATGCTATTTTTCAGCACATTTAGCCTGGCTTGTCTAACACTTTAATTTTGTTTAACTCATAAAATCACCTCAACCATTACTAATTTTCCAATAACCAACCGTATTTTTGCGAAAATGTTAAAAAGTGCCCAAAATTATTTTCCTTTTTATTATTAATAAAAATGAGATTTATACCTATAGATGTTTAATCAGTTTATTTGTATGAAGTGTTTCGAATCAAATATTCTCCGACGCTGTAGTTAACGTTGTTTTTAATATGGAAAACGTTTGTTTTTCTTTTTTTGCAAGAAAGAAATATTTGGCACAAAATGCCTTGCTTATGTTCGGAAATTTACATTTCAGTTATAAATAAACGTATTCTAATTTAATTACGAATTGTAACTTTTTACGGATTATAAATTTACTGTTTATTTTATTCTAGAACAATTACACTGATTTTCTGAGTTTAAAAGGCAAATAATTTTAGTTTAAAAATAAGTCAAAGCTTTTTAATAATTTTTATTAAAATAACTTCCCGCTTCATTTACTCTTATTTCAATTTTTATTAATTTTCAATAAATTAGAATTTTAAAAAGCTGACTTTTTCGGATGGTACACAGAGAAAAAAAATTATGGTAAAAATTACCATACTGTAATGACATTTCTGGTAAAGAAANATACCCGAAGATGTTTAATTAATTTATTTGTATGAAATGTTTCGATTCAAATATTCTCCGACGCTGTAGTTAACGTTGTTTTTAATATGTAAAACATTTGTATTTTTTCTCAAGAAAATTGATTTTTAGCACAAATTATCTCGCTTATGCTGTTCGGACATTTAATAATTCAGTTATAAATGAACGTATTCTAATTTGATTTCGAATTGTAACTTTTTACGGATTATACATTTACTGTCTATTTTATTTATGAGAAATTACATTGATTTTCTGAGTTTAAAAGGCAAATAATTTTAGTTTAAAAATAAGTCAAAGCTTTTTAATAATTTTTATTAAAATAACTTCCCACTTCATTTACTCTTATTTCAATTTTTATTAACTTTCAATAAATTAGAATTTAAAAAAACTGACTTTTTCAGATGATACACAGAGAAAAAAATTCCGGTAAAAAATTTCCGTACTGTAATGACATTTCTGGTGAAAACATAATTCTGATTAATAAAATCGAAATATACGCTATTTGAACCATTCATTTGGTAATTTTTCCGCTTGTTATGATTACGGTTTCCTGGAAATTGTGGTATTTGAAATTATAATTCTTATTACCACACATTTAGTAAAAAATACAAGTCTGAAAATTAAATGTAACTGAATAAATGGTTTTTGTGTTATGGTATGTGTTAAAATATCATGATAAAATTACCGAAATTTACCAAATGTTATCAGATATTATGAAACTATATTCCGTTTTTAATTTTATCAAAGTCATTACCAAAGCGCGTCGGTAAAAATTACCAAGCCTTTTGATGTTCCCATACAGCAAAACACACTGTCAATTTTATCATATTCTGGAAGCTCTAAATATAATTTTTTTTCTCAGTGTATACAGTCCATTACAGTCAGTTATGATCAAAAATAAAATGCTGCATCAATTTTTCTTTTTTAACCTATTTAAGTACTAGTCATAATTTAATTATATGTATTTATTTCTTCTACGGTACTACAGAAAAATGTATTTTTGTTTGCTTTGTTTCTTTTATACTGCGAGAGCATAGAAACTCCTTTTGAAGGGAATAAATATTCACTATTTAGTCAAATTGAAACAAATGTACGGAGGGTGAAGTGTGTAATGAGTATTTAAGATACCTTTTATTGCATAACGCACATCTTTTTCTGACTGATTAGGGTTTATATCAATTTTATGTCTCATTGTCTTCGTTACTATTGCAGCATGAATATTTAGGAAGTAGTCCGAAAACCCAGCAAGGACTCAGCCGTCGGTGGCCAAATGTGTAAGTTAGATGCTTCTTTAACTTCTTTATTCTATTATTTATCTTCATAATTACGTTATGTTTTATTATTTGATTTATTATTTCTTTTAACTTCTATGTCCTACTTTTCTTTCTTATCTAAGTTTTTCCTGTTGTGTTTAATTTTTTAACCATCGTGTGCATGTAATTTTCTTATAAACTTCTTTCAGTGGCGTACGCAAGGGAGGGGTTTAGGGGTTTAGACACCCCCCTTGAGCTCAGACAAAATGGCAAAAATAAAAATTTTAGTAGAAATTATGCGAGCTATTATTTTTTAAGACTATATATTTTTTTTAACCTTATGCCTGCTTTTTTTTTCTCACAGTATTTCTCAGAATACTGAAAAAGCATTTACTATAAGGGTTGTACTTTCGAAACCAAATTCACGTGATACTGTTATGGACTGATTCCTTTCTGTCCTGCCAGTATAGTTTTCGAGACTGGCTGTCATTCGCGAGGTCTTTACGCGATGATTCTGGAATCCTAGACGTTCTGTCGTCTTTGAGACAATTCGAGAATTTTGGAGCCGCGGTGAAAAATTATATAAAAGGGGGAACGGAGTACAGTGGAATTAGTTAGTCAGACTAAAAGTCATCTCTGCCGCTTGTCTTTCGGAGCTTGTCGCTAAATCAGTTTTGTTTTGTCTTAACAAAAAGTTCATTCAATCGCCGAACCCGTCGTCACCAGTCTTTCGACTAGTGAAGAAATCAGTAACAATACGAGTACCAGAGATACTGTGCTCGTTGAAGTTATTCATTCCAGCTCAAAACTTTGAGATCGTAGCATAGCGGATATTTCTGTGCCAATATATGTATAGATATATATATATATTTGCTGTTCTTGGATCTTTAGGATGTCAAAACGCAAGAATTTAACAATTTTTAATTATTTTGAGAAAAATCATGACCTGANTCTATTTTGTTTTCTTCTGAAATCTCTTTTTTCAATTCCTACTATTAGTTCACACTCTCCCTATATCTTGTTCAAATTTTCAATCGTTAATAAAATCCTTTTTATTCAGCCACTCAAGTTCAAATACATTTTTTAAACTTGTAGTGGATAGCACTTGATGTTTATACAGTTTTTTAAAATATTAATTCATTAATTAAATTTAATTAATTAATATTAGTTTTATATGAGAGAGAAAAATTTCGCTTACATAAGATTATAATAGGATTCACTTACATAAGAAGACCAAACGTATTCAGCATTCACAAGCATTCAATAAATTAACTTGCAGCTTTTATTGAATTATGTTAAGAGATATTTTTTAAAATTAAGAATAAACAAGCAATATAATATTAAAAAAAATTCTTTGTTGATCTACGTAGAAATTGACTTTAATTTTTTTTAATATATTACCTGTTTTCCTTTTAAATGTTTTATTATTTCTTTAAAATTCACGTATTAAATTTGAGTTCATATTTAAGAAAACTGCATTTTTTTTAATAAGGGAAATTGGATTAACGTCTGACAAACATCTATTCATTATTATAAGAGGACATAGAACAATGCTACGTTATGAGCATATATATATAAATAAAGGAGGACATTTTGCGCATTTTATATAATTTTTTGCAATGAGGATTTCCTTCGAAACTTGTTTCAGATTACGAAGTGAGTGGTAATTTTTCCAAAGATATCCATATGTGTCAAGAAATAAGTAATCAAAAGTTTTACGAAGGATTTGCTTACTCCAAACAATGATTTCTTAAGAATATCGACGAATAAGTATAATAGATGAAAAGGAGGGCAATTTGCGTTTTTTCTTCCTCTTTTTTTTAATAATAATTTTTTGCAATAAGAAACTCATTTGAAGCTTGATTAAGATTCAAAAATGAGCATTAATTCTTTCAAAAACAAGCATATATGTCAAAAAAATATGAACTCAATATTTTTAAGAATAAATTTTTTGTCCAAACAATGCTACTTTAGGAACATACATATAAAAATAAAGGAGGGATCTTTGATAACAACACGCATAATTAAAGTCATGCACATCGTTCTCATTTTATTTGAAAATTTGATTTTTTCAAAATAAAATAAATCATTTAAAAAGCAGGTACGTATTTTCTTCTTTTTTATCATTTTTTAAGGAGGGCGGTCAGTTAGAGAATTCTAAAATTTTTGGGAGTCGGCGATTCAAAAAAAAATTTGGCTGCAGCAAAAAAAAAACTTAAAATTAAACATATATATAAAATAAAGAAATGTGCATTAAGAGCCTGATAATTTAAAACGCTAATTTATTTCAGATCATAAGTTTTGATTTTTATGGAAAGTGCAAAAAAATTAGTAAATAAAAAAAAAGGTCTATTCACTAAAAAAGGGTGTCAACATAAAGAGATAATGTTTTTTTTTACCTTTCCCACTGGTTAACATTGCAAGAATTAAACCTGTCTGAAAAACATTATTTTTGTATTTTCATTTCAAATTTTATAGGTTGCGTATTTAAAAGAGCTTAAAGCAACGTAAAGAAATTTATACTCAGAACTTGATAATTTAACTGTTAAAAAATGTATTTAATTAATTTTTTATAATTTATATATTTGTTGTTCTTAACTATTCTTAATGTTTAAAATTAAAAATAAAAATATCGAGCAAAAAACTCAAGTTACAGTGATTGATATAGGAATACTTAAATAACATTGACAGAAGAAGAAAAAAACATGCAGAATGTTAGAAATTGGCCCTTTTTTACCCAAATTATATTATTTCTCAGCTAAGGTAAAAGCATTGTGCGAATATTTCCAGATATATTTTGTATTCAGAACTTGATAATTTTTACTGTTAATAATTCATTTCATTAATTCATTGTAATTAATAAGTTTGTTATTGTTCTTAACTAATCTTAATGCTTAAATAAAATGAAAAATAAAAATATCGAACAAAAAAACTTAAGTTACAGTGGTTGGTATAGAAACACATAAAAAACATTGACAAGAAAACATGGAAAAGTAAGAAATTGGCCCTTTTTACCCAAATTGCATTACTTCTCAGCTAAGGAAAAAGTATTATGCGAAGTTTTCCAGATGTATATACAGTAACATTCGCCGAGTACTTCAAAAGAAATGAAGTTAGTATCGATTCCTGAGATGTTCTACTTTTGATGATTATTTCATAAAAGTATTTTCGCTATTGTTATATGATCATTCGCATTCCGATTTTAACTTATGGAAGTTGCAAAAGAATTTCTACAAGTTTATGAAAGTCAATATTTTTAGGACAATAATATTATTGCAAAATGATTGAATAGTGTTGATAAATTATCTGCAATAAAAAGTGATCAAGTTGCTACTTTAATTTTTTTGTAAATTAGACTTATGAGACAATTTGACTTAATTTAGCAGAATAACTTGTTTAAAAGTAAAGGTATGTATTTATAATCTATTTTGTAATAAGAAATAAGTAAATGTAATATATTTTACAAATTCAGTATATTAAGGGCATTTAATGATATTTTACGAGTATTATTTTCTTTAAAATCTTCTGTTGCATTTCAATTCAGAACAAAATTTTCTATCAACTATTAGGAGACTTTTAAAAAATTATTAAATTTGATAGCTTTTTGAAAACACACAGTTTCTTATTGTGAATTCTTTAAAAAATGTTAAAAGGAAAAGGTCTTTCTTATTTTTAATACTTTAAAAAATGTGAAAAGAAACTAATTAAAAAAAGGAAAAGGAAAATAAAAGCTTTATAAACGAAAGAAAATTTAGTCCATACGGTGACAAAATTCGGATAAAACTAAATTTTACGTTATTTAAACCATTCATTTGGTAATTTTTCCGTTCATGTAGTAACGGTTTACCGAAAATTCGGAATTTAAAATCATAGTTTTTAATACAACACATTTAGTTTAAATTACTTTAAATTATAGAAATTAGTATATTGTAAATTATTTTACACATTTCAAATTTCTTAATTTTTAAATTATTTTTAACTATATTAAGTTTACATCGAAAAATAAAAAATGTATAAAATTTCTTTAGCGAAAAATACTGTCCGCCATTTGTATTTATACAAATATTTAAATAGGCTTACCAATATTCATATTAGTTCTAAGTCTATCATTATGCTATTGATTTCATTATCTTTAATTCAAACTTTAATTTTGTGTGAACTCTAATATTTTGTGTATGAACTCAATTTATAAATTATTAATTTCTAATGCGAAAATCTCAAAAATTTGAAAATAAAATTTACTTTGATTTATTTTTTTTAATTATTTTTTTTAATATTTATCGTTAACTAAAATCTTAGAATCATTTACTGCATGTTAAAATAATAACATAGATATTGCATGAATTTAGTTAAATGCATCAAATAAAATATATCTAGAAAAATCGGTTAATGTCTTTCCGCGACACTAGAATGTTTTTCAGGCAGGATATATTTTAGTGATAATCTTATATATTTCCGTTAAAAAAAATATTTAGCTTGCAGTTGCATAGATCTATCAGTCCTCCAAGGATTTGTTAGAAGTTTGCAAATAAATCATCCACTTCTCATAAATAAAGAAGACTACAAAATAAGATTTATTCCTATCATCTAAAGATAAATATGATGGTTAGGACCTAATTAATCAAAGTTATAAAAGACATTTTGCTGATTAATGTTTTTATGAGCTTTTCAAGTATTTTTTGTCCCATTCTTTTTTATTATTATTATCGCTACTTATACTTCTATAGTATATTATTGCTTCTCAAAATACGCTTTTAATTTGTTCATGTAATGCCTTTTAATCAAGTTGTTCTTATTATTGATTTCAAACTAAGAAAAAAATTTCGATAAAATTATCCAAATGTACGGTAATGGCATTTCGAGTAAAGAAAAAACAAACATAATTCTAGTTAATAAAGCTAAAATATAAGGTATTTAATTTATTCTTTTGGTAATTTTTCCTTTCGTATGTGATAGCTGTTTTAAAATTATAGTTCTTATTACCACACATTTAGTAAAAAATACGAAACTGAAAAATAAATTTAACTGAATAAATGGTTTTTAATGCTATGCTCTATTAAGGTATCATGATAAAATTACAAAATTTCATCACACATTGTAAAACTGTATGTTATTGCTAATTTTGCCTAAATCATCACAAAGTGCTTTAGTTAAAATTACCGAGTTTTTTGGTGTCTCCGTAGAGCCAGAAACATGATAAATATTACCATGTTCCTGTAGCTTTGACCATACCTTTTTCCTCAGCGATAATGAGTATGTTTTTATATCTTTTAAAGCCTCTTAAGTGATGGTTACGAATCAGATTCAACGCTAATACGAAAAACTGGAAGAAACATCGAAGTAGATCCGGAACAACAGAAATCCTGGTACAAAGAAATACAAAAAGGAGGAGAAATACCCCTCACCGGTCTCCGGAAAACTGTACCAGAAAAACCTACAGGTAAATAAATCAAAATCTCTGATATAAATAAATGAAAATGGAACGACTATATATTCACATTAGACTTAGTAGTTAGATATTTTGCGTTAAATTAGAATTTTAAAAATTTTAATTTTTTTTCTCGATAGTTAAACTTGCTGTTATGAATGCAGTCTTATTTGTTATCAGTAAATATATTGGTCGTAAATAGTCAATTAAAACTTATATTTGTTACTATGAACGACTGAAATTACTTAATGTTAACATTTTCAAGTTTTCTTTTCCATTAGAAAGACACATTACGTCTATAATAGATCAAGTAATTACCTTTGATAAGAAATTCTACCGAATAGAGGGCCTGGAGGATTAAGATTAATACTCGGATGAACTTCAACATTATAATAGATGCTTTGAGGAATATTCGAAAAACATTTATTAAATTTTCGTTTTTCTTACTTGCATCAGCACACACTTATTGTGAATGTTGAATAAAATATTTTTGTTGTAGATCATTATTTCTCACTTACACCAGCAAATGTCCATAGGAATCTTACAATGATGTACCTGTATGTTGTTATTTTTAGGTGTAGAAGTGAAATAATGACATTAATGAATAAATTCAATTTAATAATGACTGAATTTTTTCACCAAACAACTACGTGGATATCGACATGATTAAGTTAACATTTACCTAATTCCGAAATTTCATGGTAACATTTAAAATATTTTTATACCCGTTTATTACATTAAATGTAGTCAATCTTTTGAAGCTAAAAGGGGAAGTAGTCGATAAACTCCAACTCGGAGATTATCTCTAAGACTATCTATCCATGAATTGATTAATTGTTCAATTTTTATTCGATTTTCTTAAGAATTTAACATCGTATAGATAGTATCAATCAGATTTCTTATCTTATTTCAGCACATGCATCTAGGATCATTTAAAATCATCTTTCAATTTGTTTCCGCAGTATTTTAATAGCATATGACACTTTACGAAAAATCACTTGGTTCTAGCTGTTAGCTTTAGTTACATAAATACAAGTCCCATTCGTATTTATAAAAAGAAAAAGCTCTGCGGTATATAGTTTTTAGGACAACTTGAGTATATATAAAACCTTTAGTGTGCAATGTTTAGTTTTTTCCCTTAAGTCTGAGTTTTTGGAGCTGTATAGTGGTTCTTGCATTATTCATATTCGATCCAATCATATATTTTTTGAAAAAATGTCCAAACTCAGTAAAATGACTGTTGAATTATGTAACGAGTAAAAGATATTACATAAGAAAAAGTATTCCGATAGTATTATATTATGTATTTTTATATTTTTATGTTTACTATAAACTACGTGCAAGTTTTATGAAATAGAGTTACTGATATGCCATTTTTCCATGTCATTTTTTTTAAACTGTGCACAAAAGTTTTAAATAATACTACTTGCGACCAGTAAAATGCAATATGAGAGTTTATAAATATAAAGCATAGCTTTAAATATAAACATTATAATAAGTTCTATATAAAACATTATATGAAAGTTTATAAATATAGCATAATTAGTAATAGAAAAATTTCAACAGATAATACTTTATTAAAAGACAACATTTTGCTACACTTATTGAAACAATTTAACAAGCTTTTGTTCACTCAAAAATTAAATGCTTTTACTGTTAATGTTTATAATTATATTATCTTTTATATCTTTTGTAAATTAATATCATTTTAACTAAATTTGTGTTTCAGAAATCCGCAATCAAGATTTAAGGCACGCATTACTAAAGTCACAACCATTTAATCGCGCCGATTATAAGACTACATCGCATTCTACGCTTCAAATAAAGATAACGAACTCAATAGCAAAGCCATTTCCTCAAATCCGATCCATATATGCACCAACTACAATGTCTGTTAAGAATACAGCTCCTGTACCTCCTATAAGAGCCTCATCAAAAAAGTTTTCGTTTTTAAATTCTGAAGCTGCTCGTCTTAAGCAGATTGATAGTAGAAATTCTACATCTGCATTGAAGCAGATGCCGCATCACATTTCTACAGATTCTACCTTAAATGACTTTTCGTTTTTTAGCCAAACTAAAAGCGATCCTCAAGGTTTAAAACCTGAATATTGTAGTTCTGTAAGCCATGACACTGTGGGTGGAACTTTAAAATCATTTATGGAGCATGAAACTTCAAACGGGCATCAGAACGATAACGCATTACAGACGGAAAGCTTTGACTATAAAAGTGAAATAAAACAGTTAAATCAACACCAACAAAGACATATTGATAATTTTAATAATAATCATATTAATTCTGATAATAATAACCTCAGCAAAACAAGATTAAGCTTGAAGCAAGAAGAAATTTCGAAAAACCCGAAAATAATTAGCAATTGTTCTATAGATGAGAAAGACAATTTATGTTCAACATCAATATCGGTATTACCAGACACCTCTATCGATGTTTCTGAGTTAAAATGTGCTGATGAAAATCAAAATTTAAAAGTAAACAAAAATCGATTTAGAGAAAACTTTGATTCCGTCACTGTGCAAAGAAATTTGTCTCAGTCATTACCAATTGATCATCATTATAGTGATCCATGCAAAAAAGCAACTATATCCAAAATAAATAAGTCTTTCTCCACTCGGATGATAACTATATTGCCGCCTATATCATTCTCTTCAATTACTTCCACAAGAGGCTTAAAGTCCCACGTAGTTCATTCTGTTTCGCAAAACAATAAAAAGTTGCAGTGTGGTCACTTATCCAATGTGAATCCACTAAAAACCTTTTTAAAAATGAATGAAAATTTTCTGTTTAAAGCTAATGATTGCGCTCCTGATTATTTATCAACTGTTAAACTTTTATTAAAAAATCATCATAAACCTATGTCTCATTCTTTTAAGCGAGATCAAAAATTAATTTCGAACCCTACCTTAAGTAAAAACGAAGCTGACAACAAATTGCATTTGGACGTGTCTTACAATAAAATGAAACAACGCTTGACTCCATTTAAGCAATTCGTTAACTCATGTAAATCATCCACAGACAATATGCTCAGTACCAATCCTTCTACTACAAAATCCAATTGCGTGTCTAATAATTCTATTAAATCTTTGAATAATTTCCGAAATAACAAATTATCTCGCAATAATAATTTAATGCTGAATGAAAAGAATGCATTAGTGTATCAAGAATATGCTACAGCTATGGTGCAATCTACTCCAAAATCTAGAAGCTTCACTCGTTTAAAGAACTATTATGCAACATTAGGAGAAGCACCAAATTCATGTAATGGACTGCACCATATGCAAGTTAAAACTGTGTCGATTTCAAGTAGAAGTATATCTTGCCCTCACTGGCATAAGGATCTTGATATCAATCTGAAATGCAAGCATTCCTCTGTTGGCAACTTAAAACAGTTATACCAACAAACTTTTGGCAGAAACCACCAAAGTCTCCAAACATTTCGTATGTCATTTCAGTATAAGAGAATGCTGTACTCTGCATCAGTTTCGAATTTAGTTAAGAAGTATAACAGCATGCTTTATCTTCAAAAACTAGAAATGATCACCCACCATTCTTGTAAACAAGCACAATACTCCCGATACCTAACTGCCGATTTCAAAAACTCTCCAAAACGTTTTAAGGACAGGGAAAGTAAAGGGGCGTTTTTGTCCAATGAATGGCATGCTCTATCGCGAGATAAGGACTCACCTACTAAATATTGTGATTCAGAAGCCGATTCCTCAGAGCTCAATTCTGCTAAATATCGCTCATCTCCAAGCCTCAACAGTTCCATCGATGATGCTGAAATTCCAAATCACGTCCAGCGAAGAGTTAAGTATTTTGAGAAAATATCTGAAAAGCCACATCTTAGAAGCAACAAATCCAATCTTTCCAGAAATTTGTCGTATTGTGATTTAAGAAATACCGAAGAAGATGAAACTAGAAGTTTTTCTAGATTATTCTCTCCCCATTACGTACCGGAAAGGGCTATGTCCTGCTTAGATTTGTCGCCAGAGTCAGTAGATGTTTCTAGCTCGGAGAATTCATTCCAGAGCTACAGGGATACTTCAAAATCCTTCTGCACCACCGAATGCCACGATATTCATACAACTCGCATTATTCGAACCGGTACAGTTGCTCAAATAAAACGAAAACTGGAAAAATCATTGACACTTAAAAGTGGTACAACGCATTCACTTGGTGGTTCGTCGTTAACTAGGTGGTGCAGCGTGCCCGATGGCATCTCCTCAAACACCATGGTAAATCAAGTTGGGAAACGAAGATCTTATCCGTTTAAAAAATCACCTGCTTTTGCTAAATACTCTTCGGGGTCGGTTCAAAATTTAATCAAAAGATTTGAGCCAGAGCCGTTATTGCCTGCAGTAAACACTTTCCTACGGGAAATTAAATTGGAGTATTCTACGTCAGACCTTGGCGATAGAACTTTTCATTTAGATGATCTCAATAATAATTTGAATGTTAAGCAAGAATTTGACCCTTTTAACTTCCACAGCAACATCTTCAGTGATCTTAGCCTTCCTTTAAATATCCGTAGTCCTAAGGATTATTTAAATACCTCCTTGAAACTTGAGTCCACGGATTCCCCAGAAAATAGATTCATGACGAATGTTAAATATGAAGACAGACATGAGTGGGAGAGCTGTAGTAATTCCTCGACTGAAAATTCAATGAATCGGGCACCTATTTCTAACGTTGATGATCTTTACCTTCGACCCTTCGTCACAACATCCTTTAATTCAATGTCCTGGAATCATGATGAAAAACTTCCAATGTTCGAGGATATTTGCCCGCGAAGATCAGAAATTATGAACATGTATAAGCCAATTTCTAATTTCATGCAAAAACTTAAAATAAATCCATATTTACGTGTTACTAACTCATCTCCCAGGCCTTACGTGAAGAAGTTTATTGAAGATAAAGATTGGAGTCTGCAACCAGGTTTAAAGATTTTTAAGCACATTAAAAGCACGGAACACACATGGAAATTGCACTCTGGGAAATTATCATAATCTTAAATCTTGGCACTCATTTTGTACTTTCTCATCACACTGTTTGCACTATCTATTGCATGTTTTTTGGAATCTTGGAAAAGGGAAACTGAAGACTTCTTCTCTATAAATTTCAGCACTTCGTTTTAAGCACTGTTTTGTATGTTTTGATTATAATTGGACTCTTCCATTTTTGTCTCATTTAATTTTATCGTACACGTAAATTTGACGAATAAAATAGTGTTTTGGCGAGAGTATTCGCGAATGATTTTTTCCACTGGAAAGAAAAATATATATTTAAATCGATCGTCAAAATTACGTCAAAGTGAATTTTTTTAAACAATTCATTATTTTTTATTCGATAACAGTAACTTTCGATAGATGTGCCGCATAACGAATATGAATTGGGTCCAAATAATATAAGCCTGAAACAAACTACCGTAAAATAGCTTTCTATGGGGAAAAAATTAATCATAAAAATTGTTAAGATTTGCATTTGGCGAAGACTTTCTAAAATTGGCGAATATTTTTGATATTTGGCTAATTTACTGGCTAATAATTTGAAATCCATGGCGCAAGCTCTGAATATATGTGAATGGGTGACCGAATAGTTAAATAATGAATTTGTAACTAGTATTTTGCATCTAGAAACAATTTTTAATTTTAATTTATTTAAAATGAGTAATGTTTTTTTAAAATATTTAAACTAAAAAACTAATTTTAAAATTCAGACAATTCAAATTCATTGGAATTTTTTATTTTTAAATCTTGAAAAGTTTTATTTTATTTGAGTTTTATTTATATTACTGATAATGTTTTATTTATATGAATTATTTGAGGGAATGTATTAATTTAATTTAAATTTTTTATTGTCAAAAAAAAAATAAAAACGTAATTAAAAGTTTTCATTTTGAATTTATTTGCGAAAATATTTGAGAAAACTTTTAAATTTGCTCCTAAAAATTAAAATTAATAAGGATTTTTTTAGTAGTTAACTAAGCTTAATTACTAGTTTCTTAATATATTTTACACATAAAGTAATAAATCCGGTTAATATTAATAATAACCTCAATTATTAAAAATAACCACTCTTTTTGGTAAATGTAATTGAGATTAGATTAAAAATTAAAGGGAGCTGCAAAAAACATTTTTAATATAACGTTATTAAAAATTAAACAAATTAGTAAAATATAAAAAACAGCTGTAAGAGTAGACTTTTACTAATAAATAAGTTTAGAGCCCTGGTGGCTCAGGGTGTAGAGGGCTCGCCTTCCAATGATGAACAGTGTTTGAATCACAGCGATGGCTGGTTGATTCGAATTCCGCTCCCCACCAACCGCAGTACTGACGTAAAACATCCTCAGTCGTAGACGGTTCATGGTTTAGAGCCCCTTACCCTTAGGCTAACGGTGGGAGGTTTTCGTGATTTCCCTCTCCTTGTAACGCAAATGCGGGTTAATTCCATCGAAAAGTCATCCACAAAGGCAAACTTTCGTCCAATACTTGATTCAGGAATTCCCTTGTCTTCTGGATTGGGTTCAAAATTACAAGGCTTTGATACACCTCTACAGGTTGGATTTTTTTAAACTTCAAATCAACCTTTAACATCTCAAAAACATCATTTTTAAGGATTACATCAGGAAGAAAACTAATGCAGACAGTAATTCGAATTCGTACTAATCGAATTTAAAATGATGAAAATATTTTTTTTTTTGTTTCACAATGTGAAAAAGTTTTGAATAAAACTTCGTTATTTTAATTACAGCGTCGCCTCATCAATATCAAGAAACGGAAGTAAATATTCACTATCGCGCTCCCATAAGACATCTTGAAAAAGATTACATAGAAGAAGAGGAATTAAAGAAAATTCAAGAAGACGCGGTAAGCTAAAATTTATTCAAAATCACTCTTAATATCACAGTTACTTAACTTATTAAATAAAAATACGGATTTAAATACGCCTGCTGATAATTCAAGTTTCATTTGGGTTCTGATCACTAAAGAGATTTTATCGTCAATCGAAATGTTGACCATTTTTCGATTAGCTGGAGTCCTCAAATTAGAGTTCTTTAACTGGTGACCAAGTATCCTATGTTTCTTAAATGTTTTTTTATTTTATTGCCGTTTGAAATTTCGACTCAGTCAAAATAAAATTACTAAAATTAGAAATATTTAAGTTAATTAAAATTAATTGTGTTTAACAAATACTTATAATTAATACCAATGTTTTTATAGTTGCATTTTCTGTTTTGTAATTATTCAATTACAGTCCCTGACCAAATTATTAGACATACTCTAAGATTCTAAGTAAAATCTTAATTATCAGGTTATACTATACAGCTTTATTGTTCTTATGCTGCTGAAACCGGTTTGTACTTGTTTATGTTCTTCGGTCAATTTGTTAATATTGTCATGAATGCAATGATTGAGTAAAATTTAAAAATGAATACAAATAGGAAGTAGGGGAGAGTGGGGTCAATTGTAACAAGGTACGATTGTAACATAGCAAAAATTTCGAGTGTCGGGTTCTAGATTTGGTTCCTAGGTGGCGCCAAAGGTGCATTTAAAAAATCTACATGTACACCCCTGCTGGCAACCATTTTTATGTACTTTTGAAAGAGTTATATCACAAAAGATATTTTCACGCTACGTAAGTACTTTTTTTGGTATTAGAATATTATATTGTAACAAAGTAATTTTGTTTAAACAAATAAAAATTATTAACCGAATATGTAAGTGGACACCTTAATTAACATTTCAAGAAAAAAAAGATTAGTTTTCTTAATTAACTAGCAATGTTTTCAACAAATGAAGCTGAAATGGCGTCTTGGGGACAATTGTAACAATAAGTAAAGGGACGATTGTAACAGCTGAAAATAAATAATCTTATGTTTACAAACCATTACTTACCTCTTTAAGAACCACCAATAGTTTAGTATATCATTTATATTATGTTGCATGCGCATTATTTTATTTGTCACCTTTCACAGCATAAATTAAAATTTTCAATACCTTAAAATTAAAAGTTTAACCCTTTAGGTCTCTGCTCGTTATTATTTTTACTCCTAAAATATCACTACTATTTAGATCAATAAAAAAATTTATCACAACTATGATAATATGTATAATTAACTATGTTTTAGTTGAATTTATGAACTGTTACAATTGACCCCGTAAGTGGGGACAATTGTAACAAATTCACGACTGTCAAAAATTGTTAATAACTAATATAATAACATTTAAAATAAGGTATTTATTTTTTTTCTAGTAGAGGATAGTCTACTTTACTCGTCTGTCAATTAATATTAATAATATAATGGATTTTTTGTTAGTTAAAAATAGTTAAGTAAAAAATATTACAATTCACCCCACTCTCCCCTATATAAAATATCTCTGGAATTAAAATCCATTGCATGCATGTTTAAATATAAAAATATTGCATATCAACACGTGCAAAACATGCAATTCTTAAAACAGATTTCAGTCTCGTAAGAGCTATAAAGCTGTATAGTATTGCCTGATAATTAAGTTTTTTCATAGAATCTTATAGTGCGTCGAATATTTTGGTCAGCGACTGTATATCCTATTTGGTGTATGCTTGTATGGAGTGCATGTCAATCACAGCAACTACTAATCAATCAAATTTAAAACTCAACTAAGACACAGTGTCTGAAATTTAAAAAAAAAAAAGGAAAAAAAAAACTTTGATTATTGTGGATGTTAGTTTTAATAGTGTCATTCATTTATTTGTTTGTATTACCTTCCTTAATGTATCGCGATTTTAATTTTCAGATGCGAAAATTGTATGAAGAAGAACGAAGAAAGAAACAACAACAGGAACTAGCAGAAATAGAAATGAGAAGGCACAGTGATTTTTTCACGTATGTAGATATTAATGCTTTCTTTTCACAATTGATTTGTCACATGCATCGAAAAATGTAGTAACTGAAACGATGTTATAGATACAACAATTTTGTAAATTTAAAACTATTATTGTGATAATAGTTTCATTTTCATTATTGTTGTAAATTGTTGACATTTTTGGCGTTTCACGGAAGTGTTAAATAGTTTCGAGACTTAGGATATTTGTTTCAATTCGTAACCTTAGAAATCTTTGACTATAGTTAGATCTAATCATTAATCCATTATTTATTTCATATTTCGGTTGCCCCTATGAAATTATTTAAAGTAAAATACCATAGAAAAAAAATATTTTAATAAATATAATTTTTTAATAAATATACTTTTTCTATTGAATAAATTATGAAAAGATCATATATCTATAAAACTTTCATTATTATTTTTCATCGTGCTTTTCAAATGAAAATAAAATTACTAAATTAGTTAATAAAGAACTATCTTTTACTAATAACAATTTTCAACGTTTGCAGCAGTTCGTTTTAAAATAGTAAATAATAAATTTTAAAAAAAAGCATATTTTATTTATTTTCAGCTACAAGCCTACTTTACACCAAAAACAAATGCATAACTATACAGCACGTGACTTCGAATTTAACTGTCTTACATAAAAATTTAACTTAAGATTATCAAAGATTAAACGATGAAAAAATTTCTTTCCGATTATTAAGTGCTTTTAAACATAGTCTTTTATTGGTAAATACGTTCGGTCTTTGACCCGCAGTGGCCTGATCGTAAAGACACGGTTCCCAGTAAAACATCGAATTCAAGCATCACTGGCTGCTGTCAGTAAGCGGGTGGGTGACCACTTTAATCAGCCTACGTAGGGACCGAGAGTGCGCGGAATCGTTAAACTGTTCTACCGTAAAGTGCTCGACTTCGCGTGTAGGTCGCCGGACTGCCAAAGCGGAGGAGCCATCCTCTCTGCAGAGTATCAAAATTGGATTGGCATGTCTTCGGAACATCCTTGAGGATGTTTCCCAGTTGCCAATAGCCCATTGTCCAACTCTAGTGCGACGTAAATAAAATACCTACCTACTTGCATTCGATCTTTATTTACTTTTTCTATGAAATTGTGGTTCCGCTGGAATGATGTATTTGCTCTTAATTTGAACTAATTTGGCTTTTTAGCTATTAATATTCTGGATCTTCCATATTTCGCTTAAATAAATTTTGATTTTCATTTATTTATTTACAGCGCTTTCAAATATTTTGCTTAATTGTTTTAAGTCTTTAATAGACGAAGCAGATGCTCGTGATGCCGGGCTAAGATATTAAATACTTTATTCTTAAATTTCGTTTAATGTATTCTTTCATTGAATAGTTCGGTAAAACACTTCATTTAAACTAATAATTAGCCTTATAATACATAGAACATATTAGCTGAGAAGATTAAGGTAGTTAATTATCAAACGGTTTATCCAAACTTGTGTTCACCCCTTCTATGTAGATTCAAATTAACTGCGTGTATTTAAATTAACTACTTGTACCGAAATTAAATTTACTATATATACAGAAAAATGAAATTGAAAAGAAAAGAAAAAAAAAAATACTATGATAATTTTAGGTGCAATCTGAATAGTTTGGGTGTTTAACCTAGAACATGCTTACTAATATGTTTAGACGATATTTTAAGTAACGAAATCCGTTCTTAATTCAATTAATTTAAAATTGCATTGTTTCAAATAATGTAAAAAATTTTATACCATAGTTTTAAATTTTTTAGTTATTGTTAAACAGAATTTTAAAAAATAGTAAAGAATTAGAATCATTCATCCGACGCTCATTCCATCAGATTTGATAATTGTGAGCAAAAAAAGTATTTGATTCACTTAAATAATTCCATTTATATGACTTTCGACTGTTTTCTTGACATAAAGTTATAGGTAACATATTTCCCAGATTGAGACTACTAATTTAAGATTATTAATGGTCAAACGATGGAAAAATTTCATTCCTCTTGTTAAATATTTTCTAATTATATATATTTTAATAAATGAAAGAAGTATTTTATTAATTAACAGGCTCACAAATGTTTTTATATACTTCAGTGCTCCCGACTGCTCCCGACACGCCAAAATAATTTTTAAAAAAACGGTAAAAACCACAAACTAAATTTTGCAAATATTTGGCTATTTTTGCTTGCTTTTTAAAAGGTATAGCATGACGTAACTACTATAAAGTGGTGAATTATATAAGCCTACAAATTATTTAGAAATAGTGGTGGATAAAAATGTACTAAATTGAATTTATTAAACCAAGAATCACAATTGATAAACTACCACCTTAAAATATTTATTTGCTGTCCGCAGCAAGTTGGCATCTCTCTATACTTTATTTGTAAAATCAGGGTTCCAATGAAAGAAGGTTGATCGTTCGCCGTAAAAAATTTAGAGCCGCTGATTTAAATGATGATTCTACAGTTATTTATCTCAGTTTGTGTCATAAAAGAGATAAATTATGATTGAATTCATCCAATTTATAATATCTCTGTTTATCGTATTCCTTATATGTTATTTTCTCCATTCCTCTCTTATGCAAATACTTAAACTGTATTAACGCATTTTTCATGTATATTCAACAGACCATCTCAAAAATCTCCAATTCCTCTCAATCGCTACGACAATCCATTTGACTCTGCCTATTACAGATTGAGTCCATCTGGATACCATAGGGGTCCTCCACCAAAGACTATGGCCAGGGCTATATATCCTTTTACAGCACAAACTACCAGGTAATAAGTGATTTAATGTAAGATTGCATACTTAAAGTATAATTTATAAATTGTATTTTTTTTTTTTAATATTTAAATAAATAAATGAGCATATCTCGCTCATGGTGTGTTTTTCTTTTTTTAAGAGAGCTTAGTCTGAATAAAGGAGATATAGTTTATATCAATAAGCTACTTGACAGAAATTGGTACGAAGGCGAACATCACGGTCTAATAGGCATATTTCCTGTTTCTTATGTAGAAGTAAGTTTCATTTAAAGTATTAATGCATGCACCTAAACATAATTTCAGAAACGGGGATCTAGTGGCATTTCGGTTAAAAATTAATTCTAAAAAAATATTCTTATTCTTTGTCCTCATTATACTCTTTCGAAATAGAATAGACATCTCAAAATTACGCGATTTTCCTACTCTCTACGTTTTCTCCTCCACTGTTGCCACGGTTTCGGCAAAGCTTGCGTCCCTTCTAAGCCACAACGTTTCTTAATCTCGAATATACTGGGGTGGGGAAAAAGTAAGATTTGCCGAAACCATGGTAGTGAAAAATGGGGAAATCTCTTAGCCTTTAGATCCCTATTTTATGTTACAAAGAATATAAGTTTGAGATATCTGTTTAATTCCCATCATTTCAGCTCATATTGTATTTTTTTAGTAATTCTAATATTTTTACACATGCTTAGATTATCCCCAATGAAAAAGCAAATTTGCAACCTCGAAAAGCAATGGAAGGGGAAGCAATAGTCAAATACAACTTCAGAGCCCAAACACCAATGGAATTATCTCTTTTCAAAGTAAGTTAAACCATGATTTGTTTTTCCTCTTTAGAGTATTTTAGGCGGAATGCTTCCAAAAGAATTTTTATAGCTTATTCAAATAATGAAAACACTTCAGATAGTTTTCCTTTAGATTAATAAAGGTTCCACTACCCAAAAACTGCCTTATGACTTTTCCTTTTTGTTACGTTTTTCTAAATTTGTTTTAGTGCGTATGAGATTGGAATTTCACATTCAAAATAACCACTTTCCGACTAACTGGAGTACTCAAACCGTAATTAAAATCCGTGCTCAATGACAATCATAATTCCTATTATTTCCTAACCATCACAAACAGGATTTTTTTTGACATATTATCAATTTTCGTCAATATCACCGACTAACTAGCGTGCTCAAATCCATACAATTATTTTGCGATTGCTTTATAACTTCTTAATGCACAAAGTGTCCAAAAATTTTAATTCTGAGAAGTGATAAAAAGCATCAGAAGGATGAAAACTTGACATAAAACATCGACCGCAAAACACGGTAAACGGCCGAAAATTGCATAAAAAGCAATCAAGCAAGAGGATCTCAACGCGATGATTGTCACGACACGAAAAGCATATCTAGCAACTTCGAGGGTGTCTGGGAAACCTTTTTACGACGTTGTAGACTGTGCAATGACATCAGCAAACGTCACTTCAGCTTTGGTAATAATTAATCAAATAAATATTTTTGTGGTTAGCTTTTGTAATGATTTTCCAACGCGACGTTAAAACCTGTATGTTTTTTTTTTGTTTTTTTTTTTCGTTTGCGATTTTCACCCACTCAATGTGCTTTGCGACCTACAATCTATGATAATCTTGATACTTTTTATCACCCAGCTGAATTTATTGATTGAATTTTGAGACACCCAGTGTATTAAGGATTTTTGTAACAATCGCGAAAATTGTTTTACTTTAACATGCAAAAAATAAGCTTTTATGTTATTTTAATGGTTGATTAGAGAAACTTACAATTTAGCAGCGCAAACCCCGATAGCTGTTATACTGCACAAAATCTATGGTAATTTTTCATCCTTTTGATGCCTTTATCAACTCCCTGAATTTATCAATCGAATTTTAAAACATCCTGTAGAAATTACAGAATCCGACCAAAAATTAAAATTATAATTCATCTTGTTTTGCAACAAAAAGTTGCGAATTGCAGTTGTAGATCGTTTATTATTTTTTTTCAGGGAGAAAAAGTTATTCTATTAAGGAAAGCTGATCGAAATTGGTACGAAGGGCGCTTAGGTACCAAGAAAGGCATTTTCCCTGTTTCATACGTTCAAGTTCTTCAAGAACCAGGAGAGAGTCCTGGTAAGTTTTTGGTTACACAATGTTTACATACATATTTAAAACTTTTTATCAAAGTGGTAATATTTAATAGCGATATATGTGACAAAACTATAAACGTTTCTAGAATATTATAATTCTAAAATATTTTAAAGAAACCAAATCGAAATGAGGCCACTTTTAATTTTAAAATTATAATTATGAAAATTCCAAAGGAAATTCTAATTATGAAATGAATTCTTAAGGAAAAACACAAAAAGGAATTATTTGTCACATTTAGGGGGCCCTTGGCTTAAGCTCCTCAGGCCTTGCCGCCATTGCTATCAAAAGCAGAACCAAGATCCAAGAATTTATCCACACTGTTTCAATTTTCTATCAATTTTAAATGATATATATTTTATATATTTTCTTCAAAATTTTGCAACATTAGTATTTTTTAATTGTTTGGGTTTTCCTTTTATTTATATATAAACCCACAAAATTTGCACATTTACTGAATAATTGTGTCTTATTTTCAAGATCAAGAGTATTTTTATGGCATAAGCATACCTGCCAACTTGTAATCCTTTCGAGAATGATTTTCCCAAGTGGTAGTAAAATTTTAATTAAAATTTTAGGCAGAAACATACGCTGTATTTTGAAAAAGCTTACGCTGACTAGCACTACATTACATTACATATTAATATATATGCTTAATTTTTTAAAAAATAGTGGTGGCCAAAAAGATTATATATTAAGTTTATAAATGCAAAGAATATATAGAAAACATACATTTTATTACCACTTTAAATATAGAAATAAAATTTTGCGCTTGGCAGGTATGCATAAGCACGATGTCATCTGCAAAATCCAAATTTTTAAAAATAGTATAAAATCTCCATCTTAACCTTTTCTTTGGTTTTTTACATCCTTGTTTAACGCTTGTTTGTTTCCAGAACGCAGGCTATAATTTCAACTTTCAAACGATGAACGAAGATTTATAACGCAATTCTTCTTTGTTAATAATTACTTTTTTTAAAAAAACAATTTATTTTTTAAAAACAAAAATAATTGCATATCTTCATCTACTAACTTCTTTATTCTGTTAATTATAGGCCCTCGAGCCATATCTCCCAAACCACCAGCAAGTCCAGTATTGTGAGTATTTTTTTTTTAAAAAACTTCAATTTAAATTAACATTCTATATTATAAACGTATAAAATGAAATTGTTACACTTATTAAACAATTCTATATTCATTTATACTGCCGTACTTGCTTTTACATTGATTAAAAAAAAAATTTCCAATGCATTGTAAACTATTATTATGCACAAAATGTTCCAAAACTATCATCTTTAAGATAAATTTTCAAAATAATAGTGAAAGCAAAAAAGTATGCACATTTGACGTCTATTAATATTTAAGCGAGGACGAAAAAAAAAAAAAACGCTTTTGAAGTCTGTCGATCGACAAAACCAGTTTGTCTGACGAAATATTAAGTCATATCTAATAATCGCCATTCAATTACTCTGTTTCCCCTGGCAATATAACATACTTTCAGTCTCCCCTTCCTCAGCAGTGATTCTTTAGTTTTTGTTAGCGCTTTAATTTTTTCTATCTTAAATATCAATTTACGACCTCTAATGTGCAAACTTGTTTATAAGTATGCTAAAAATACATGTTACGGGTGATCATTATAGAGCATCGTGCATATTGATTGACTTTTTAAAAAAATATATAATAAAAACAATCCCAGTACTTAATATCAATAAAAATTAAAATGTATGTTTTTAGCAGTCCTATTATTAATGGATCACCACCAAAATCTAATGAAGGCCCAACATTCAATACCGGACTCAGGCCAAATCAGGAAAAAGTAATTAAAATCCTTTTCTTTCCAGTTGTGAAATTAATTAATTTGTTTCGCGATTTTCAAATAGCATTGAAAATACTTATTGTTTCATATTTTATTACTTTCAGCCTACTCTCAAACTAGACAAACTAGATGGCAAATCTTCTCTCACCCAAACCCTCCATATAGATACTTACAATGAACCTATACCGTAAGTAGATATCATCAGTCATACATTTTTTCAAAAATAATGATTACTTAAGCCTGAACCAAAAATGTCTTCAGTTGCATTTTAAAAGTATGAGGGTTGTTGCTGTTTTTTTTTTTTTTTTTTTTTTTTTTTTTTTTTTTTTTTTTTTTAAGTAAGGGCCGTTTGAAAATAAAACCAAATGAAAGTAAATTTTCAAGTAACAAATTTATTTTCAGATTCTTCATACGTTTCTCTTTTGCAAAGCTGCCAAATTTGTTTAAACGCTTATCATATTTTATAACTAGATTTAGAATACCCTCTTCATACAAATTTGCCGCCTGCTCCGTTATCAAAGAGGTCACGTATTAGTCATTGTTGTACTGATTGCAGCCAAAATGATGTTTGAAATATCGGAGAAGATGAAGAAAATCACTCAGTACAAGGTCTGGACTATAGGGAGGGATGGTCCAAAACTTCCCAACCAAAAGAGTTCAATAAAGCTAGGATCTGAGCTGCTGAGAGAGTCATTGTCATAGAGTAGAAAAAATTCCCTGTAAACCTGGCAGTGAATTTTGCTACTTCACAAATCTGCTAGTGAATTAATGCAGTAGACAGGTTTTTTGTCGGCTGAAAACGCATCACTGACAGTGTCTCGTGCGTGGCGGCGATTCGTTAAATTTGAGCATTTTAAGGATACAGAACTGACCGTACACAGCTGCAACTGAGCACAGTTGTTCCTAAGGAATGCTGGGACACGACACAAGAACTCGTTGCAACGCACGCGTCATCAATTAGTTTATACAACGAAACGGCCCTTACTTAAAATACAACCCTCTTAATTTAATTGTATGATTTTTCTTATTCATTTTGTCTGTGGAAAGCTAATTAATGTTTAACCCTTTGATGCAGAATTTTTATTGAGCATATTTTTATTAAACATTATGATAAACACATTCTTTCATTATTTTAAGTCAAAAAATATTATATTTAGCATTTTAATAATTTATGGTTATAAAATACTGCATAAAACGCCGGTGTCTTTTTCTGCATTAAGGGTAAAATCTTCCAATTTTAGCTCACTTCCAATCAATAATTTTTCAAATTTGTAGTTATTTGGATCTAAGAGAAACAGTTATTCATCATCGAAATTTCATTAAATTACAAAATCAATTATTGATAAATGCTTGAATACAAATGAAAAAAAATTCTCTTTTTAAACTACTTTTTTTAGATTTTATTACAAATATAATTTTAATAATTTAACAGATTTGTTTAGTAACTAAACTGTTTTTCATTATTAAAAAATACCAAAATATATTTTTTCTGATAACTAGAGCTTCAGAAAAAAAATCTGTAAAAGATACACCCATATCCCATCTGCGTCAAAGAGTTAAACCTTGCAAAAATTTAGAGTTTTTTTTCACGCTAATAAATATGAATTATTTTAAAAGGTATAATTTAGTGCCGAAACAACGTAAAAAATCAAATCATCCTCGCAAAAATTTGAATTGAGTGAGAGTATGAGGTTGGTTTTTTTATTTTCACTTGAGCTCATTGAAAAGTTACTTCATTTAGTCATCATCATCATAGTTGGCCAGACAGCCCGATGTGAGCCAATGCCTTCCTCTGAAGATTTCGCCATGACGACTTCCGATTTATCTTTGATCTCCAATTCTTTTCATTAATTGCAAGAAAATCAGACTCCACTGAGTCAGTCCATCTCAATCGCGGCCTTCTCCGCTTTCTTGTTCCAGTGGGTCTAAAAAGCAGTATCTTTTTTTATTGTATTGTCATCACTCATTCGAATCACGTGGGCCATCCATCTCATTTTTATGTATTTAACAATATCAGGTTGTTTATAAATCTCTTGTACAGTTCAAAGTTAAATTTCCTTCTCCAGTTATTGTTTTCATTTACACCACCAAGTATACTCCACAAAATCTTTCTCTCAAATATTGCGATACAATTTCCCTCCAAGCTTGAAAAGTACTGCTTTAAAAAATAGTTTTTAAACCTTGCTTATTATAAATTTTACACTTTTAATAAAGATTTCGATTACGAATCTTTAAGGCGTCATCACAGAAGATCGGCACTATCGCAGAGGATTGTTAGTGAAATTATTTCATGAATACTTGAGCTCATGATAAGGTTGTAGCAAATTTACTTCATAAAAACATTCTTTCAGTTGGTATTTTTTTTTATGAAGTACACAGTATTTTTTTTATGAAGTTCATGGTCTTCTAATTAACGAGGCATATGTTAGGAATAAAGAAAAAATTAAGGGATTTTTTTTGAGTTTATTTTTAATTTTACTTTCGAAGCAAAATAATTGAAACCTGCAAAAAAAAATAATAACTTGCAATGTTTACTAATTGTTCTGTTTATAGTAAGCTAAGTTAAAATTTTGCATCTAAAGCATTGCTTAAAAATGATCCCTTTTTCCTTTTTTTAGCTACCGATCATTGTACACTTACAAACCACAAAATGATGACGAGTTAGAATTAAAAGAGGGCGATACTGTCTATGTGATGGAAAAATGCGATGATGGTTGGTATGTAGGAACTTCATTAAGAACAGGACAATTCGGAACGTTCCCTGGAAATTATGTTGAAAGGATATGAGAGGCTTGTAAGTTTTAGAATCTATAAATTTAAATATGAATCACCGAGCTGGAATAACTTCACTAACATCATTTTATTAAAAGTAAAGCAATCTCACAACTATCTGTTGTGGGCCGGGGGTTAAGGCTCCACAATTTCATAACCAACGGGCCCGAAGACAGCAATGGGGGCAGGATTACACACAAGCCGCCCTTACTTCCCAGGCAGACTAATACGCATCGATCTGAAGATTGGCGGGCTTCGAGCTGCCACTAAGGATCGAACCCCAGTCCTTCACAACGATAAGGTAATCAGTGCCTTTAACCACGGAACGAACGCAGCTCACGTTATTTTAATGGACATATATTTTTTAACTGAAATATTATTTACTTCAAAAATAATCTTCTCCTTAAATATTTTGGCTAAAATTAAGTTGTAAGATTCAAGGAGAAAATTTAAATGTATCGAAATCTGACAAACAAAAAAAAAGTATCGAAATATGACAAGGAAAAAAAAAACTACTATATGAGAAAAAGAGGACTAATAAAACTAAAACCAGTTCGTTCGTTGCATGGCATTTGAATGTGATTTCTATGATCTCCAACCGCTTCCTCTCCATAATTTCAGAAAATCAACAGGTTTTGATGTTTTTAATTTTAATCTCATTTATGATTCTTAACTTTATCGAAAAAATTTTTTTACTTGCTCAAATGTTGATTCACAAGTCCTAATATTAATATTTTTGTTGACTCCATAACTGACAAGGTATTTAAGAAATATATATTAAGAGTGGTGATTACAAAACACCCTGCATGCATATATATATATATTGGATATAACATTTTATTTCAACATAAAATATATAATATATATTTGTGTTTCCACATTATTGTGTTATGTAAACCATACTATAATTATTAATTGTTTCTTTTGAATACATCAATAACTTTTAAAAATTAATTCATAATTTTTTTTCCCTACAGATGTTGTTTTACAGCATGAAGTGTTTGTTTCTAGTCTTCATGATTTCTGCAGATGTTGCAAAGACATTTTTTTGTTTTGCTGCTTAAAATATATCATATCATATATATTGCAGCATAATTTCTCAGATAATACAAAAGCATATTATCAAAAGTTTGTTAAATACTGCATGTGTTCAAAAAAATTTATAGAAACGTTTCAAAACTCGATTTTAACTATAGATTTATAAAATATTTTATGTCATGAAAATAAATATGTTGACCCAACTGTGATGTTGCTTAATTATATTGCATTTGAATAACTCATTCATTGAAAGTGGTACACGGTAATCATTAATAAAAAATTAAAAAACTAACACTCAACACAGGGCACAACATAAACTATTCAGAACGTTTAACGAAATCTTAAATACTTTTTAATACATGTATCAAAGAAATAAAAAATTAATGCAAACATGTAGCAGCGAATGTTAGATTGTGACAAATGCAGATTAACATGTATTCACAAAAATATTTACAAGCACAAAAAATGCTCAACTGTCTAACTTTCTGTGAATGTGTTAATTAAAAGCTGGCATGCAATTTCTCATAACGAAATAACATATATTCATGTATTTTTTCTATGTAAAAGTAAAATTTCATACAACTTGATAAAAACAGTTATAAAATAAAAGCCTTCATAAAAACACTATGTACATAAAGTAAACTATACAAATCATAATCACTTGTGCATTTTAGTATTAAACCTATAAAATAGGCAAATTAATGTAAATGCATTATAGCAAAAATATAGAAAATTAATTTTAGAGTTTTAAAACAAGCTATTATGTTAATGATCTGACAATATTCTTTATTGGGAGAACTGCAATCCAATTGTCATTTTACCAATTTTAATTATGGCAATGACTTTGATCAATATGTATATTGTGTATACTTTTCTAATTAGTACGGAATAAATTCAGTTGTCTTTATAACGACAAAATGTGAAAAAACTTCAGAAAGTCTGTCGTTTTTTGATTAGCAATTCAAAAATCAATAAAAAAACTGAAAGTGCATGGTTTACTGTGTGCTGCTTAAGACACCAGAGAACATATTTTTACCAAGTTTTAAAATTAGCTAACAAGTTTGTCAACAGATGGCACTCACTAAAAATACTATAAAACATGTTTTCAAAATAACCACCATTTGAACCAGAAATGAGGAAAAAATTAAGAGATGCAAATACCAAAATTTCAGTTGCAATGTTTAACATAAAAATTATTTTACAGTTTTGCAAGTCAACAACGTATCGAGCGTTCATTTGTTGACGAACTTAGTAAACTAATTTTGAAACTTGGTGAGAATATATATTCGAGTATACATTTTTATCTTCTTCTACTTTCCTTTAATTGCTTTTCCAAATTATCATACTGAAGAAAATACTGATTCAATAAAAAAACTGAAAGTGCATGGTTTACTGTGAGCTGCTTAAGACACCAGAGAGCTTATTCGCAACAAGTTTTAAAAGTAGTTATTAATTTTGCCAACAGATGGTGCCTACTAAAAATACAATAAAACATGTCTTCAAAATAACCACCATTTGCACCAGCAATGAAGACAAAATTAACAGATGCCGAAATTTCAGTTGGAATGTGTAACATAATATTGTTTTACAGTTTTGCAAGTCATCAACTCCATCTGTTGACAAACTTAGTAACTAATTTTTAAACTTTGCAAGAATATATATTCTCATTTCCTAAGCATATATTTTTATCTTCTTTTGTTTTCTTGTAATTGATTCTCCAATCATCAGCCATTTTCAGGACAACCGATAAAAAAAATTTAATAAAAAATTAAACTAATTAAATTAATTAATTAAAAATTAAATTAAATAAACTGTAAAATTTAATAAAATCGGTAGAGATTTAAATAAACCAACTCAATAAGGAAAAGGGACTACAACTAATAAACAGACATAATATTTTTTATTTTATTCTATTGACACACTTCATCATGAGCAAGAGATACTTTTTTTTTCTACAGCATTTTAAAATACCTTAGACAGAAACTTTACACCATACTCACAGATCAAAATGCTTAGAAGCAGACCAGAACACTTAGAGTTATAATAAGAGTAAAAATCTGATTTATGTGTAGAGAACGCCTTGTGATACACATATGGCACATCATTCTTTCTTTTCCCACCATTCTGTTTCCTTTCCTCTTTAAATCTAGATGCACCACATGTTTTTTTTTAAAGTCAGAAAAATGTTGTAAGTGGTTTAACACATAATGACTTGAGGTTTTATCAAATGCTGGATCACAGATCAAGAAGAGAGATGAATGTTTTAATGCCATTCATCGAATGTGAATGATAGAGAACAGGAATCAAACCAGGCTCTTAGTTAAAACACTCACAAGAATAGGCTGACTTCTTTTTTTTTTCTATTCTAGAGTAGCAGACACAAAATGGAGTATTTATATATGGTATCCAGAGTATTTGATAAGCAATTTTTAAACATTTCACTTCACCGTGCGTGTTACTAGACCTGCCAATGTCACAAAAGGTCAAAAAACAAACAATAAGGGCAAAACAATGATGGGAATAAAAAGGACTTGGATCAAAAACCCTTCTAGTAAGTACTTAAAGAGGAATTACTATACACACAGCAGCACTCCAATTATTTGGATAATCGAGTAACGGGTAATTAAGGCAAAAACATTTGTCAATTAAAGTGGTGATAAAATATCGCTAATGACATGCAGCAAAAAAGCATGGTACAAAAGTATTATTTTTGTAACAGTTACATTAAAATGTTTTAAGAAACTTTACCTTCCTGAATTATATGATGATTCGTATTAGGCCTGGTCTCAATTAACCTGAATAATTGGAGTTCTACTCTATTTAATACCTTCACTGCCATAATAAAGGCTTTTTGAATATCACCGGTGTCAGTAAAGGTGTTAAAAGGGAATTATTTAAACAACATAAAATAAATGACTTTATCAAAAAGGGATTTTTTTTTAAGCATACAGACTTAAAAGAAGAATCAGACTTGGTAGCTGCCGTCAGTCGGTATTTACTAACTTTTAGAAACAGTATCATGCTTAATTTTTTGTAACAAATTAATATACTTTTATAAACAATGTTTTGAAGAGATACACATTAAAAAAAAACTTAAATCAGAAAATACTTCTACAATATAACAGTCAAACATGAATTAAAAAAAATGTGTACATGGTTCCAACAAACTTTTATACGGCGATTTGATTTTAATATCAACAAAATATTTTTAAAGTAATCAACGTCAAAAGAGCAATGTCATATTGACAGATTCTTAATTAAATGAATTTTTTTTATAAAATAATATTCACGATTGGTAAATTTTTAGTCTGTGAAAACAAAATATTGAACTTAAGAACTGTGCGTGACAAATTGAATGATAATTAAGGCTAAAAAAAAATTACTCAATTATATAATTTCTGATTAAAATAGTTTAATAAAAATCTGCTTACAATAAGCAACAAATAAAATGTTTTAATTGTTTTATGTAAACAAGTATGCATAAAAATTTATTGGAATTTATTTCAGTATTAAAAAAAAATTAGAAACATTTATATGGTTTAATTTCTTAACAATTCTAGATTAAGCATACATTTAACTAACAAATTCAACTCATTAGTAAGGCATCAATTAACCAGCCTCACATTTTAATCACTGAATTAAATGACTTATTTCCCAGCAACTACTCCACAAATGAAGGTTTTAGTGGAAAATCATTTAGCATCATTAATTTTAAGGTTCGCAGCTATTAGTTTTTCAAAGCATAATTAAAGAATTAGATGAAGAACCACATTTCAACAATTAATTTAGAGATTCTACAAATCTGGCAGGTTAAGTTTACAATAAAAGCAACTAACTACATATAAAATAATTATATTATAACTCAATATTTTTCTTAAATTTTCAGCACAAGAATATACACGCCATATTTAATATCTACTAAAGATATATCAGTGAATGTAATAAAATCCCATTTCATATTTTTGATATCAACATTTTCATTATTCACAGCTTAGATAGATATAGTAATTCTGATGACACATGGGTAAATATTATACAACAAGTTCATTACGTTATAAAGATGCTTTCTAAATTATTACATTCTCAAAAAGTTCAAAATTGGAAAAATGTTCAACGGTATTTAAAATTTTAATAACACTGGAAATTGATGTTGTGCTAGTACACCTAAATCCATTTAACATCCAAAAGTTTTTGATAAAGAACATGTAAAATTAGCAAAGCTTTACAAGACACCATTTATACTCTTGCATGTGATTCACAAGGCTGCTTTTAGCAGATTATTACACAAGATAGAAAAAAGAAGACAAAGGTCCAAATTTTTTATGATACAATTCATGCACTAAAAATAATTCTAGTAAATTGAAGTTAAATGTGAAAAAGTATTTTTATTTGTGGCGCATAACAGAAAAAAATATCTTTTTTTTTCTCCTTATATGCCATCATACATAATTGTAAAATTACAAGTAAAAAAATATTTCAGTATATAAGTTTGGTTTCTTTTTTTTATATTACTGAAAATATATCAAATTTTAAATCCATCTTTTGTCTTTATAAAAAAGAAGAAAAAAAAACAAACATGATTTTTGTCAGCTATGCAAAGATAGAAATACTAAAAATATTTGTTTTGTCTCATATTTATGTCATTCTTATTAACTGATTTAATAGTTTGAGGAAAAATTAACATAAATATATTATCTTAATATATATTAAAAGCCTAAATGTATTTAAAATTTTATAAAACTAAAAATGTATCAAATTCAAAGTCCATCTTTATTTTAAATGAAAAGAAAAATAGCAATATAAATAGAACTAAATGATATTTAATTAATATATTATAATTAATTGTTTTGTCTCATGTTTATGCTATTTTTATTAACTGATTTAATAGTTGAATAAAAAATTAAAGAATTGTTATATTACCTCAATGTACACCCAAAACCTAAATGTGGATATGTAAAATTTTATAAAACTAAAAATGCATCAATTTCACATTCCATCTTGTTTTTAAAAAAAATGAAAAAGAAATAAAGAAAAATGGGAATTTTTTCCCAACAATTATGCAGAAATAGAAATAAATATTACGAACATTTGTTTTGTCATTCTTTGTGGTTTTTTCACATCTGACTACATAGGAATTAAAACAATGATTTTAATTATACGTTTCTAAAACTTAAGTGCATAGCTAAACATCTGCAAAATTCACA